GAAGATTCTGCGCAAGAGAAAATGAACAATCAGCAAGGACTCGTGAAGTAGAAGGAAAGAAACTGAGACAAGGACGAAGAAGATAGAATCAGAGGGTCACATATAAGAAAAGCAAATGGGCCATGAAGAAAAACCATGCACAATATATTGAGGTCATTGAAGTTTAATTAAGGCGACAAGATGGTAGAACAGTCCTGGTCTATTAACCCAAACAATGAGCAAGAAACAAAAAAGATGTTGGGCTATACTTCTTTTTCTTCTACATACAAGTAATAATGGCTTGGACACAAGCCATGGAGACATGTGCTTACGGTCTTATTTAGAATATCAAATATTTTGGCCTTCAATCTTCAGTAGAATAGTTTATTTATGATTAGCGTGTTTGTGGTGGTGTTGGGTTTGAGTGTAGCCAACTTTCTTTTCTATTTTTAATATTTAACAGTCCAAAATATTTTTGTTATATGTGAGCCACATGGTAACGTTCTGACAGTATCCTTGTTCGTTTCGGTCTCTAATCTGGACCATTTCGACAGGATCAGAATACTCGGTTAGCAAAAAAAAAAATTGTTTCTGATCCACCTTTGTTCAGAGCCGGACTGCATACAAGTGCCTAGTATAGTTCTATCGGCCATTTGGGGATGCATATATCATCAACACAGACCTGAGTTCGACGACTTTAATTGTACTTGGAAATTTTAACTAAAACTCTTAAATTTTAGAGAAATTAATAAGGTAAAAGAAATAAAGATGAAATGTTGAATATAATTATTTCTGATTAACCTTGTATGCAACTACCAAAATTTAGCCAAAAAAAAAACTCGTATGCAACTTTTCAACTATATATTCCCTTATTCCTCAGTATCTCATGATCTCCAAAATTGTATGTAACGACTACTCTTGGTGTCTAGTAGTAGAATTACAACTTGTTTTTGGCTTAAACTTAGCAAATTTACGGTCAAACACACATATCACATTTTTTTGGGAAAATATGTGTAGTAAAAATGCATATGTTTTCTAATATTTAATTAGTAGGTATAATATATCTAAAATCTAGTAATTCTAACTTAACAGTTCTGATTATAAAAATGCATCTGTTACAGCAAAATGAGTAATAATATTGATAATTCGAATGAGCAAATCTTTTTTTTTAAACGAATTGGAGTATTATACTGGCCATTGGTATGGGCATGGTTGAGGATACTAAGAAATAAAAATGGGCGTAGCAATCTAAGAGTCAAGTTGGATGAAGTACGCAGACTATGCAGAGGACACGACATGTCTATTCTCATGAAAGCTTTGCTTTTGTCATCATATATCTATATATAAATACAAACTCCATTTTTTGACTCGCACGGTTTCTCAAGTTTCACATATATGGCTACATATAAGACGTGAGTAAGAGAAGTGCATTTGTTTCTTTGCATGGCAAATCCCCATGCACCTTGTTTTCTTTGTTTTTTTTGGTTTTGATTTGTTTTTATTTGATTTTTTTTGGGTCTTATACCAGCTGCATCTTATGTGTGCAGCGGGCTGATTAGTACAAGTGCATGCCAACTTAAGAGTGCAATAGGGAAGGTACGGTTTCTCGGATCATGAGTATTTATCTCGATTCTATAATTCCCCCTCGTGGTCCAGAGGACCATACCTTATTCTTACATCACTATTACATATTTATATCCTTATCAAATATACTATAGTATAAGACAATTGTATACGTATATGCATTTTGATAATGCTAAAACATGGTTGGAAATTTTACGCTTTCCCTCTCTTACATATTTGTCAATATCCCCTACTTGTTACCAATAGAGATCAAGTCATTAATAGATGTCGATGTATGAGCGTTTCGATATAAGCGAAACGATCGAGAAGAACATAGATCGTAGTGTCGATATGTATGTGTGAGTGACAATACATACATTAATAAATTCATGACATGCATACGAATTTGAAAAAAAATGGATAGTCATTAATGTCATGAAATCAACTAAAGTAGGGCTGAATGGTCCAAATAAATAAACGGATTCGGTCAAAAAAGGAGAAAGAAATAAATAAACGTCATTAAAAAGAAAGAATAAACAAGTTTAGGTTATTTAACCAATACTAAGTGTACCATGTTTAAAAAAATAACAATACTAAGTGTAACCTAGAAAGTTAGCTAGGTTATGGGGTTTATATATCATCAAAAATATATGTGTATATATATCAGTTATCCATTTCAATAAATAATATTCTATGTATTTTTTTAATAGCTATACAAAAAACGATTCATTGTTCCCTCAATCTCTTACAGTTTTTATTATTATTTTAACTTCAATGTTTTTGGATGTGTAAGTGAGTCTGATTTGTTCAAGGAATTTGTTTAGTAAATAAATTAAACTATTTTCCTTAAATTTGAATTTTAAAATTTGTTACAAACAAATTCTTGGCAGAAAAAAAGATAGACTCTCTTACACGTGCAAAAAGACATGATTTGATATTTACCATTAAAAATATTATATATATGACGATTAAGTAAATATCGAGATCCATAAAATAAGTGGTCAAAGTATCATTTGCTCACACAGAAAAAGAATCATTTGCTCACACAAACACACGCAAAGTTACTTTGCTAATATAAAGCATGGTTAGAAGAAGTTAAAAAAAAAGAAGTTAAAATGGCTAAACTCAGATATGAAAGAAAATGTCATAAATCAGAGAATAATGGTTGGAGTATTAAACCGAAGGAAGGGAGGAAGCAGCGAGGGGATTAAAAGAGTGGTGACACAATTAACATGCCAAGATAAATGTCAAATCCATCATGAAAATTGACAGTGCCTGCAAAATGGTCAGTAACCCCCTAACCAGATAATAATAAAATAAAAAGTGACGTAAGTGTCTGACCATAGTTAACGTAAGGTGTGCATGGATGCGTGTCATAACGTTTTTCAACTTCAATGCCCTCAAATAGCGTTGAATGTTTTCTATTAATTGCTTAGTTATTTGACTTATCTACTCATATAATCTTTTGTGAAGGGTTGGCAAACAAAACCTGTGTAAAGGATTCGTCGACTCATATGATTGTGAGTCGTTTCTTACATTGTAAAAGGGTCGTTTGTATAAACAAAATTTGTGAGCCGATCCCATGGCTGGCGTTGGGTAAAGCCGAATGAAACATTAACCTAGGTCCCCAAATTTTTTTGAAACAATTACATATATACAGGCCCAAAAAATCCAAATACGTAAAAAAATAATTTTTAGGCGAAATCGTTAAGAAATCGCCTTAGACCGCATAATTTTCAGAGCCGGCCCTGGCCGATCCTATTTAAACTTAAATTAGAAAGATATCAGAAATAAGTTTGGAATTAATCAGATTTAGAGATATCGATGTCGTACTTTATAAAAAGGTTATAAACCTTTGTTGGTAAAAGGTTTAAAATATAATTTGCAAGTTTTTAGATATAATTTTATATAAATTAATGTTTCAAAGTATGATTTTGAAAAATATATAATTATGAAATTTCCTTTGGAAAATAATAAAGGTGTGTTTTTTTCTTTGATAATAGGTTTTCTAAAATCAGATATGTTTGTTTATTAAAATGGATAATTGGTACGGGGTCATATATAAGAAGCTATCTAATTTCTGTATATTTGCCCGTTGCTTAATTTATATAAAAAAAATTTGTAAAAGGTTTAAAATGTAATTTGCAAGTATTTAGATATAATTCTATATATAATTAATGTTCTAAAGTATGGTATTGAAAAATATATAATTATGACATTTCTTTTGGAAACTAATAAACGTGTGTTTTTTCTTCGATAATAGGTTTTCTAAAATTAAATATGTTTTGTTTGTTCATTTAAACGGATAACTGGTATGGAGTCTTATGTAAGAAGCTAATTAATTTCTATACTTGCCCCGTTGCTTAAATTCACTACAATTTATCAAAATAATAGGTTCAATCAAAAATTGTTTTTGTATCAAATATAAATGTTTCTTTATAGAATTCTTCTTCATGCGTGGTTGAACTCTGCTTCTAGCAAATAGTTTGCGAACAGCCATTACTCCAATAGTTAAAAAAAGAAACACCACTCGTCGAATAGAAAGATATATTAAAGTCCTGAGTCTCTGACTATATAAAACTTATACACGTAAACAAAACAAAAGTTATTACTCCAATGATCCATCCATATGCAAATGTAGTGACGATTTGCTTAAGTCATGTGAGTGAATGAAGTTGTATTTTGGGTAAAACTGCTTAAAAGGAAGCCCTAAAAAGGAGAGTTATAGCTATAATAAAAAAGCGTGTGCGTGTGTGTGAGTTCTCTCTCGTGACGGCAAAGAGATAGAGAGAGATGGATCAATTTCATTGAAAGAGATAGTCCATGCGGTGGTCGCAGAAGAGTGTCAGCTCTCTATCTCGATTATCATTTCAGTGACAAATCAGTGCCCACCCTCTTCCATCTATCCTTACAATGTCTGCATCTTCTCTTTATATACACCTCGTTACATATATATTTGTCTCTCTTACGTAAATGTGACACATTTCAATATATACACAAGGTTTAATTCCCATTATATATTGACTTTAATTACCGTTTTTCACATTCGGCACTACCTCGATTAGATTTAGATGTGTTGTATCTTACATGTTTTAGGATGTGACTATAAGAATGATCTTTCACTAATAAGTTACTAACAAGTAACAATTAGATCTAGATATGCTGGTAAAAACATGATTAACCACGGTTTTTAAGACTAGATTCTTAGCGGAAACTAATAAACTATTTCTTAACTTTAACTAAAAACATTAAGAACCGGTTCTTAAATAAGGATTTTAAGAACTTATTTTTAACATTTTTAGTTAAAAGTTAAGAAACCGTTTCTTAATTTCCTCTAAGAACTCTGTCTTAAGAATCCAAGGTTAATCATAGTCTAACAATTCTTTTAATTAGGAGTTCTTATGAACTATATATGTGTATTTAAAAAAAAAAAAAAAGAAGAACCATATGTGACAAGAAAACACTCCTTTATTTTGTTACGGACAAGAAGAGACATTATTAACTAACCTAGTTAATTAACCACATCTGTAAAAAGTTTATTTCTTCAATTTACAACATGCAAAATTAGGTAGTAAATCTTTATCTTACAACACACAAATTAGGATTTAGAGATTAGGACAAAACGAGAGCTGCACATGTTCTTGATGGGCCCCTTGATCTCGTCTCTCCATTGGTCAGCTATTTCCCCAGCGATTTTAACGGCGTCAGACGCTGTACCAAGGAGTCCTCTCCTAGTAAACCCAACCGTGTACAGTCCTTTCCCTCCTCTCCACCCGTTAGGAAACGGTGTTTTTGGCATCCCTTCCTTCGTAAAAAAATCACTTCCCTAGTAAAAAATATAAGGGAGGTAATTGATATTATTGTTTATTTTTCAATTAAATACTGTGGGAATGATAAGATGTTAAGCTTACCTGAAGCCAAGTAGGCACGTTACTTTTGTAACCAGTGGCAAATATGATAGAGTCAAATTCCTTTTCTTGACCATCCATAAACTTTGCTCCATTTTTTGTAATTTCCTTTACACCTTCCATTATCTTTACAATAAGAAACGACAAACATTAGGTATAATAAAAAAAAAAAAAAAAAAACATTAGGTATAATGAAAAAACATAGGGGAGAAACGATTAGCTCGGACTCATAAACAAGATTTATGGAATCACAGCGATATTAAAATGATTCACGGAAGCATATACAGAAAATAGTACCTAATAAAAACAAAATATAACTTTCTGGTTCATCAAAGAAAGATAAATTATTTATTAAGAAGAAGAAAACTTTTTTCAACAATTTAAAAAATTCGAAAACATTTCTTTTGTAGTTTCCACATTAACACGGTTCTTTGTAAAAATTAGACTAATACAATATTATTCTTTAGTAGGTACTGCAGAGTTATAGATAAATAACTAAGAGATGAATACCACTAAATTAACGTAAAATATAAAAAAAATCGAGGAGAAATCAATTCTTAATTCAGTAAATTAAATATAAGAAGATAATTATAGTTAAACCCACCTGAATTTTTCCAGATCTGATAAGAGACATAGCTCCAACGTCGAGAACCGGACTTTTCCCAGTGACATTCTTTAACTCAAGCGGACCGGTTTTTGGTCGGCGTATGCCTAACCGGTCGGTATTTCCAAACGAAAGATTAGCCATCAGTAACAAGAACTTATCAACAAGCCTTAATGGTAAACATTTGAGAAGTGTCATCCCAACTCCAAACGTTGATAGCCCAAATATCTCCCTTGGCAACACATGAACCTACATGAAATAAAATATAACAATTCATATATATACCAAAACGATAGAGAAAATCTATTAAAAAAATTAAATATGTTTTAATTAAAAAAACATACGGTGTTTCGGACAACAAGATGAGGAGAAGCCTTATGTCGAACAAGATCCAAACTAATCTCCATCCCGGAGTTTCCACATCCCACGACCAAAACTTTTTGTTGTCGGAACTCTTCGCCGCTTCTATATTCACTTGCGTGGATGATTTTTCCACCGGAAAACTCGACTCTCCCCGGAATTTCCGGGACGCAAGCATCTGCGTTCTCTCCCGTCGCCACAATAAGCCATTTCGAGAGATACTCTGTCTTGTTTAGAGTCTTTACTCTCCATAAACCGGTTGACGTATCGAAAGCAGCGTTTTGGACGTTCTCGTTGAACCTAGGGACGATGCGAAAGTGTGAAGCGTATGACTCAAGGTAATCCAAGAACTCGTTTTTAGAAGGGTATTTTGGGAAATTTTCAGGGAAGTCCAAGAGAGGTAATTTGCAAAAGTGTTTTGGGAGATGGAGTTTGAGTCGGTCGTAGGTTTTGGACTTCCATAGAGATGCTATTGAGTCTGAACGTTCGAGGATCAAAGAAGGGACTCCACGGTTTGAGAGACATGCTGACGTGGCGAGACCGGATGGACCGGCTCCTATGATGATGGGACCGTGTACGAGGATGATCTGTTTGGTCTGGTGGCGAGGAGGAGGAGAGTCCATATCTTTGAAGAGTGTGGAGGAGACTAAAAGAGTGAGTTATGTTTTACTTTTGGAGAAATGTTCTTTTGTGTGAGGGAAAGAACAAGAATTTATAGAAGGGGAGTTCCACTAGTGGGACCTTTGTAAGATTCTTTCTTTATGACGTTTTCATTACAAGTTTGGAACATACTCAACATAGTACATTTGTTTCTTTGAGATGTATTTAAATTGTAAACCTAAAAGCAATATTCTTACTCTCTTGGGAATTATGAATAGTGACGGCAGGTTAATCCATTAAAGCATCAATGACCAAGATATTAGATGATACACATACAAATAACTACATTTAGTAATCTATATAATAACATAATTGTTTACAAAATCACGTAATTATGTGGTATGTGGATTCACGAATTACACTGTATTTGACGGTTCCACCTGCAACCATCATTGTTCGACCATATGAAGCCTAATGATATATTTATATATTGTACTAATCAATAAATGGTTGATACTTTACTTATTTTTTATTGTTCAGAAGCTTAACATTTTTGTTTTTGCTACATATAGATGTCACACACTATACTACGAAATGTTGCCATTCATGGTTAACTGAATATAAATGAGAAATAAATGAATACTGAAAAGTTGAAACAATATAGAAAGAGTGTTCTCAGAACACGTTGAATACAAGACTAATCCGATTTACAGAGTTTATCAAAGTAAAATCTATAAAGGGTTTAGCTATCTCAAAGTCTATGAAGGCTTCAATTACAACAAAAAGAAGAAGTCTAGATACAGTGTTTCTAATTATTTCATAGAACTTGGAAAATGTAAGAAATCAAGATATTGAGTGGATAATAGAAATAGTGGTGAAAGAGGGCATTGGAACAGTAAAAGTGGCAGTCCAAAAATGACAGTGTAATAAATAGAAAGCGTGAAGCTTAAGTAAATTATTTGCTCTTCTTCTTATTTGATTTTGGGAAAGAATCGCCAAACATAAAAAAACAAACAATCGAACAAAGGAATTGACCAATAAATTGGCTGGACTTTTAAAATTAATTAATGATCTAATAATGTTTTGAGTTAGCTTTTACGCCTTATTTTAGCAAACATTCATTTCATTTCCATTTTCAAAAGTTTATCACAACAAAACAAAAAAACTTATATTTAGCTGAGAGTTGTTTCGGACATGTGTAAATAATTCGTAAAGTGACTTTTGTTTGCAGTAATATGTCTATATGTTATTTACTATATTCAGACTATATGAGTCCTAACATATATCTCTCACTAATGGGTTTTGATAGTAAATAGATTGATTTATTTATATTTGTTGATATCTACCCAAAATATAAGAGGGTTGCTTGTGCCCAATCTCTTCTAGTAACCCTTTAATCAAACAACCTAGAGTCTAATAATTTAAACATGTACACAATTTCCATGTATATATAGTAGACAAACCTATTATCGTGTAACTTTGAAATATATGGTGTTTTCACCTACAAAATGTTGTCTTTTCAAATTTTCAAATATACTAGCCATAACATGAGCGTATAACGTATATTTTCAAGGAAATGGGTTAGGAATTCAATTATTTTGATGTAACAAATATGTTTATGCTGGCTAACAATATAACAAAGATTTTCGTTAGAAAAATATATCAAACTACAATTTGATTACGGGTGTATGAACGTGCGCCGAAATTAGCTAAGGTTTGTTCAAGAAAGCAAGCATAATTCACTCACATGCTTCCTCAAGAAACTTTATATCTTTTAGATGATTATTTCTTTAGAATACTAAACATTTAAGCCTGATCATATTCTTTAAGATCATAAACTGGATAAGACTCCCAAAGTATGTATTACGCATTTATTGGATATTATATTATATGAAATACCTCAACATTTTGATGTTCTTCTTGTTAATCTATTATATTAAAAGAGAAATCATGACATTTTATTCATGTGTGATTTTTTATAAAATGGACTATCTACTAGAGTTGGTCACATTATATATTTAATCATTAATAACATTCATTAGATTCACTAATAAAATTTATTGAGCTTACAATAAATTTTATTGGGCTAATAAAAATTAGATAATCCATTGAATTTTAGATAGTATAATAAAATACATGTTTAAATTAAACTTATATAATTTAATATTGTAATAGTATAAGTTAATTAGTTATATATTTCGATGTTAACTTTAAAATTATATAGTTTATTTTTAAAAATGACAAAAATATCATTTTCTAACAATAATTATCTATATTATATAATAATTAATCATCATTTTCGATATACACACCTTATATAATATATCATTTTAATATACATACCTTATATAATATATACCAATTTAGAAGTAAAAACAAAATGTTTATATAAAAATAAATGAAAACAAATACCCGCGCGGTTGCGCGGGTTGAGATCTATCTATTATATTAAAAGAGAAATCATGACATCTTATTCATGTGTGATTTTTTATAAAATGGACTATCTACTAGAGTTGGTCACATTATATATTTAATCATTAATAACATTCATTAGATTCACTAATAAAATTTATTGGGCATACAATAAATTTTTATTGGACTAATAAAAATTAGATAATCCATTGAATTTTAGATAATATAATAAAATACATATTTAAATTAAACTTATATAATTTAATATTGTAATAGTACAAGTTAATTATTTATATATTTTCGATGTTAACTTTAAAATTATATAGTTTATTTTTAAAAATGACAAAAATATCATTTTCTAACAATAATTATCTATATTATATAATAATTAATCATCATTTTCGATATACACACCTTATATAATATATCATTTTAATATACATACCTTATATAATATATACCAATTTAGAAGTAAAAACAAAATGTTTATATAAAAATAAATGAAAACAAATACCCGCACGGTTGCGCGGATTGAGATCTAGTATGTATTAAAATACAATGACCAAGCACTACAGAATACATTTTTTTGGTTAATGACTACTGTATTTGTTTTTGGTTAATACGTACTTGAATGAGGTGATTATTGAATCGCTTAATACCAAAATTTTCCGGAATAAAACGGAAGAAACATTGGGGAAATTTGGAGACGTATCATTGTTGTATAACTAACAAAAAAAAAGTAAAACCATACAAGATACAACATATCTGATTATCTGAATCTAAACACTTTGCATCCAAACTCTCTATGGGAATCTAGGGTCGAGACTAAAATGGAATGATTAAAGGATAGCTATTATTGACCAATTCATGACTTCTATGGGAAAAGAAAGCAGGTTGTAATGATGAAAGATATTCAAGGTTATTAAAAAATAATTGCAAGTACAATTTATAATCATTGATAAGAATTTTTCGTGTTTTCTTTGAACTTTCGTTATAAAGCTGCGTTAAGTGCCATGCATGTGGTTCATCGCCAAAAGTATAGTTCATCTTATTAAATAACATGCACATGTTGTAACCTATTCCAGTCTCAGCACATTTAATAAAAATGGAACATGGAATACTCAAAACTTAGAACCTATGTTCTTATTAAATTATAATTTTGGGACTACAACATTTGCTAAATGTTGTGTAAGTAATGGCAAGGACGACAGAGACAATCTTTTCATTAAATGGTTTGTTGTGATTCAACTGTAAATTATTTCCCTGTTACAGACACTAAAATGCTAAAATGCCATCGAGTTGATTTTTCTTTTAGTTGATAAATTAATTTCAGAAAGCAATTTATCATTATAACCACTTGGAATCGTTGCGTGGAATGATTATTTTGGTCAAGATAATCTCTTTCAAATTGGCTAATAAGAATCTAATGGAAGGGGGGGTTGTTAAGATTTTAGATTAATGATATGAACAAGGTGGATAGGTTTAATTAGATGCAGCTGTGTTCTAGTCTTCTTTTCATCTATATTTTTTTTGTCAAATAGTAATTTTATATAATGGACCTAAGTTGCGCATGCATGCTTTAAGATTTAAGTACTTGATGCTGGAGGAAAAAAAAAGAATTTTAACTACTTCATACACCTTTACTTGGCTATCGCCAAAAGGGTCGGTCATTAAAATAAGAACTAGTAAAAGCTAGTGATTCTCTATTTTAATTTGTTGGGTAGCCCATGTAACATAAAACTGAATAGAAAAATAATCAGCAATTTGTCAGTAGTTAAATAAAACTAGGTTCTCTAATCATTTTTGCTTAAGATTTGAGAGACATGGAAAAGAGTTTCCGATGGCAAATTACGCACAAAAGTAATCACCCCCCCCCCCCCCAAGCGTTGGTATGTAGAGATGTCTTAGTACAAACAGATTAGGATTTATCAAAGCATAAGTTAATAGAGTGCATATTTTGTTAATAATGTTCAGCTTTAATAACAACAGGAGCTTTATTAGTTAAAAATGATAATCTTGAAAATAACCCGTGTTTATGCGGTACTCGTAAAATATCAAATGTTTTAATTCAGTGCGCATATACATGGACAAAATGTAACTACGTACAGATTATTGTATTGCTTTATTTTCCGACCAAACCCATTCGAGATATGGATAAGCGCATTTGTTGAGATTTAGCATTTGCTTTATGATTTTAATCCAATCTTTTAATTCACTTACAAGATACGAACTCTTTTTTTTTATGGTTTGTTTTGGCGGTGATGATTTCAATCGCTTTCGTAAACTTTTCTAATGGGATAGTACTATTAAAAACACTAATTTCTTATGGTCATAATTGTGATCACGGTATTAGAAAAAGATATATGAACGGACCAGTGAGTTGTCCATATAATCCAAACCTCTCTTGGTGTGTGTTATAATGCAATTCTAGAATTTTGTAACCATGTTTTATCCACGCATTTAAAAAACATTTATGAGCAGTGACGAAATAAATACGTACTACTAGAGCATAATGTAAAATTCACCGCATGTTCATGAACATGGCTGGTTCTAAGCTAAAACTCACGAATTTTCTAACTATGTTGATGGTTAACTACATATGACCAAACACGTTGATGAATTTGCTATTATTTCTTTTTTTACCAACAGTATGAATTAAAAGTGATGAAAAATACAACATAGAAAAATAATGAATACAAGCCCCAATTACAAAAAAAAAAGAACATGAACAACTCTATGATTTTAACATTTAACCAAAAAAAAAAAACTCTATGATCTAAAAAGAATTGCTAACTAGAAACGTTTTCCTAACGTTTAAGAATAATTTACCGAGTTAACCAAAAAAAATAAAAATTTACCGAGTTAACCAAAAAAATAAAAATTTACCGAGTTAACAGACAACGTTTATGTAATGTCGGAAATTTGGGCGGGAAAATGTTTTTTCCCGACACCGTGTTTTTTTTTGTTTGGTTTTCTCGAGGGAGTTGATTCGTCGCGATTCCGACGGAAAGTATTCGTCGGAAAATCATGGAGAAAAAAGTGTATATTTTTAATGAATCGCCGATTAGAGATGTTGTTCTCGTCTTCTCAAAACCTCCGTGAAAATGATACGCGGCGGAAGAAACCGCCGCACTTCCTCCCCTGCCTTCTCCAAGGACGCAAAGAAGCTTCTTTTATGCACAGCCAACTCCGTCTCTGTTTACTGCGTCGCCACTTGCTCAAAGGTTGCTTCATTGGAGGGTCACACGGCACCTGTGACGACTGTTATTGTTGATCCCTACGGCCCCGAGGACTGCTGGACGGCGTCTCTCGATGGAAAGATTCGTTTTTGGGACTTCTCTGTGCCGAAACTCGTGCATACTTTTGATATCCATCTTCCTATTTACTCTATGGTAATTGTTAAAAAGTTAGATACTTTTTTTTGTCAGTTTTGAAAAGTAAAAATTAAAACTTTCCATGGATTATTTGTAGGTTGTGTTTACATCTCGACGGTCTCGTAGCTTCATTGCTTATGTTTCGGTTGAGGATGTCTCTGGACAAATCAGGAGAGTTACTCTCTTGGATGACCCTCTTCTTATTAGTGACATTTTGAAAGAGGTCAGTTTTTTTTTTGTAAGACAAAAAACTCATGTATTGGCAGGGGTTAGGTTTTTAATTAAATTTTTGTTTGTTGAGTAGATGGAAGATCCAAAAAGTATTGTTATGAGTCCCTCTGGAGAGTTTTTCGGGGTCTGTGACAGTTGCAAAATACATGTATGGAGTACTTCTCTTGGGAAGATGGCAAAGGAGACTACTTTGCATCACACACAGTTGATTACTGTGTTCGCCTTTCATCCCAATAAGAGAATGTTAGCAGTGGGAGATGTAACAGGAAGAGTGTTGATTTGGGAAGATATTGGTGATGTAAAACTTACTTCAGTGAAAAGTGAAGATGGTGCTGAATCTTTTTGCACTGCGTTTAACTGGCACTCTGATGAAGTAACTGTTCTTAACTTCTCTTCAGATGGAGCGTTTTTGTATTCTGGTGAGACTTGAGCTGTTATGCCCTTGTAATGACTGTATCTATGTGTTATATATTGAGTTAATATTGTATGTTTGCTTTGTGACCCTTTCAGGGGGAAAGGAAGGGGTTCTTGTTTATTGGGAGCTAGATACAGAGAAGAAGCAACTTTTGCCAAAGATGGAGACTCCTTTGTTGTATTTCATCTTCTCTTCAGATCCAACTCTTTCCTCTGTAAGTCAGATACAATCTTTGTGTGCCTTAATATACAACCTGCCAAAAGGCGAAGGAAGTACTAAGATCAAGAAGTTTTCAGGCGATTTGTGCAGATAATCAGATACATCTTCTTAAAATGCCTTCCATGGAGATATTGAGAACGATTCCTGGAATCAAGGTTCCTTCTTATTAATCATCTGAATAATTTTTTCATGGATTTAAAATTGATCCTATTTGCTTTTATTTCCATTGGAGTTAACTTCACATTCATGTTGTGTACTTACTACAACAGCCTCCGGGATTAGATCGCTTTGGATTTATAAGCTACGTCAAAACGATGCATATTTCCCTCACCAGAACTGTGTCTATTGATCCTTCTTCCGGTATTGCTGCTTTCTCCACAGCGAATCACTGTGTTCAAATCTACAACCTTTTAAGAGACACTGAGATTTCAGAGGTTAGCATCCTTAAAGGAATTTTTATTGAGTTTGTATCTGATAGCTCTATGGTTTAACTATTTAACAAAACAAATGCAGATTCAAGTTTGCGACACAAATCATCAACCAGAGGATGATGGACTACGGGTTAGTACATTATTTTCTTCTTCTTAAGATGATATAGCTTTTACTAGTAAGGGTTTTGTAATGATTTAAACAAGTATGGAAAATAGGTGGCAGTGACAGCAGTTGCTCTCTCCGGGAATGGCTCACTGATGGCTACAGCTGAGGCCAGGTTTGCTGAAGGAAACCTTAGTGGAGGCTTAGTTTCACTCAAGTTTTGGGTGTTTGTACCAAACAAGAAAACATTTAGCCTAACCACAGTCATAAATCAACCTCACAGGTTTTTGTCAGATTACTTGATTCTCATGTCGAGAGTAAACTCTTTAGTTCCTTATTGTATTTTGTTGATACAGTGAAGCTGCTATCACAGCCATTGCCCTCTCGTCCCGTTCCATGGCTGTTACTATATCTTCTGCTGGGGACTTCAAGGTAGTTTTCTTATCTCTTCCCTGGAAAAAATGTTTAAACTATTGTGTTATAAGGATATAATCCTTTTTTTTTTTGGTTTTACAAGACTTGGGTTTGCAATAGTGACAAGAATATGACAGCAGAGGATTCAAACTGGATATTTCATGGAGCTGGCTCTTATAAGTAAAAAAAAGCTTAGGAACCTTTTAAACATCTCTCATTACTTAGGCGTGGTGATCACAACTTGAAACTGATATGAAAATCATTTTTTTTTCAGGAGAAAGCAAATAACAGCTGCTACTTTTTCCTCTGATGGTTCTGTTCTAGCTCTTGCGGCTACAACAGTTATTACCATATGGAACCCGTTAACGACTGAATTCATGTTTGTATTTGCAAAAACTAATACGGTAAAACCTTATACTACAAAAATAGAAAATCATCCATGTCCAGTAATAATTAGAGCTAGTGTTGAAATCTTAAAATGAGATGTTTGTAAAATGTTGTCAGCCAATTTTGCAACTCTCATTTGCTGGAATAGGCTTCCTTGTTGCTGCATCCTATTGTCCTCATTCCCGGCCGCACTTATCTGTCTTCGATGTCATGAAGTTGGATTTATCATGGTCGTATAGATTAGACATAGAAGGTTTATTACTATTCTTATTTTCTTTCTTTTTCTTTAAATCTTGATTTTTGTTCTTGTTGATATTGTCTTCATCTTCCTGTTTTTTTTTTCCCTGCAGCCATTGCCACTAAAGAGAGGTCACCCTACTTTGCAGTTTTAGCATGGTTTCCCAACTTGTCTGTAAAAGCTGAAGAAGAGATTTTTCGTGGGAAAGAAGGCGCTATCCTTTTGTTTGAGGGATCATACCGTAAACCGGTAGCTGTTTGGATTGTAATGGAGGTATGTTTATTCTGACCTCTTCAAGAACCTTTGAATCAAAGTCCTCTCATTCACCATTATGTTTCTTGATCACAATGGCTATTGCAGGCGAGGGGAGGATCACTTTCATTCGTGGAAGACAGTAAAAATTCTCGGACACTTCTCGCGTATGTAAACAGGAGCAATGAGTATGTTCTTTTTGATCCATTTAGCGATGAAACACTTGAGACTAGCGCCAAGGACTATGAGGTTCTTCTTGAAGCAATAAGCAAGAAGAAGAAGAAGAGAACAAGGAAAGGAACGTTGATGGCGACGTCAGAGAGACCTTGGGAGACAAAGTTTTGTGGATCAATGCTCAATATCCCGCCTTCCAGGGACGCTTGTTCTGCTTTCTTTGCTTCCAAAATGGGGAAAAAGATTTGTCAGAGAGTGGAGATGCAACCTGATAGCCATAGCCTTTGAGAGATCTCTACAATATTTTGGTCTGAGTTACTCTTGATTATCTCTATTTTTAGTTGAGCTTGATTCATGTGGAACATTCTAAACATTGCAAGAGTAACTTTCTTGATTTATAAATCTTACTCCCTTGTTTAATTTTTTTTTTTTCAAAAAGAGTGTCATTTTAAAATAAGCAATAAAAATTAGTCAGTATTTAAATAAAACAATGTTCACTAATCATATTTCCATAAACCTTTAAACGCTAATTTCCATAAGCCTTTCTATTTGAAGTATAAAAATAAAAGCTAATTTCTTATGGTCGGTCAAAGGTTACTAGAGATAATTTTGATCGGAGGAGGAGGACTAGTGTAATAATGTTCATGAAAAATAACATTTCTCAGAAAATGCGGATTAAAAGCATAATGTAAGTAAAAAAAACCATTAAACGAAACAATGGTGCATGCTCGTGTGTTTATTATGGACGAACATATGTATTGTCGCAACTTTGGTCAGGGATTAGTTTACTGATTAGTGTCCGACATGTACTTTTTTCATCGTATAGTGTTTTTCTTTTCTTTCTTTGTTCTGCCCTCGGGAACCGGTTTGTTTTACGACGAAATGTATCCGTCGCAAACTCATGGAGAAAAACTGTATATTGTTTTTAATGAATCGCCGATTAGAGATGTTGTTATCGTCTTCTTCCAAAACCTCCGTGAAAATGATACGCGGCGGAAGAAACTGCATCACTTCGGCCCCTGCCTTCTCCAAGGACGCAAAGAAGCTTCTTTTATGCTCTGCCAACTCCGTCTCTGTTTTCTCCGTCGCCACTGGCTTAAAGGTTGCTTCATTGGAGGGTCACACAGCACCTGTGACGACTGTTATTGTTGATTCCGGTGGCCCTGAAGACTGCAGTTACTGCTGGACGGCGTCTCTCGATGGAAAGAATCGTTTTTGGGACTTCTCGAAGCCTCTTCTTGTCAAGACGTTTGATATCCAACTTCCTATTTACTCTATGGTAATTGTTAAAGTTTGATACTTTGTTAGTTAATATCTTTAAGGAGAAAGCAAATAACAGCTGCCACTTTTTGCCCTGATGGTTCTCTTCTAGCTCTTGCGGCTACAACAGTGATTACCATCTGGAACCCATTAACAACTCAACTTTTGTCTGTATTTGGAAAAACTAACACGGTAAAACCTTCTACAACAAAATAGAAAATCCAATGTCAAGTGACTAACTACTATAGTCAGTGTTGAAATTTTAAACGATATTTTGTAAAATGTTTCAGCCAATTTTGCAACTCTCACTCACTGGAGCAGGCTTTCTTGTTGCTGCATCCTATTGTCCTCATACCCCACCGCACTTGTCTGTCTATGATTTGATGACGTTGGGTTTGTCTTGGTCGTATAGATTATATATAGAAGGTTTATAACTAATTTATCTTGGTTTTTGTTGTCGTTGATGTTGTCTTCTTAGTAACAATCTCATCTTCCTGTTTAATTTTGCAGCCATTGCCACCAAAGAGAAGTCACCATACTTTGCAGTCTTAGCATGGTTTCCCAATGTGTCGGTAAAAGCTGAAGAAGAGATCTTTCGTGGGAAAGATGGTGCTATCCTTTTGTTTGATGGGTCAGGCCCTAAACCGGTAGCTATTTGGACTGTAATGACGGTATATATTTACTCTGACCTCTTCAAGAACCTTTGAATCAAAGTTCTGTCATTAATATGACCACAATGGTTATTGCAGGCGAGGGGAGGATCACTTTCATTTGTGGAAGACAGTAAAAATCCTCGAACACTTCTGGCGTATGTAAACAGGAACTATGAATATGTTCTTTTCGATCCTTATAGCGATGAAACACCTGAGACTAGCGCCAAGAATTATGAGCTTCTTCTTGAAGCAATAAGCAAGAAGAATAAGAAGAAGAGATCAAGAAAGAAAACATTGATGGCGACGTTAGAGAGACCTTGGGAGAGAAAGTTTTGCGGATCAACGCTCAATATCCCGCCTTTCCCGGAGGCTTGCTCTGCTTTCTTTGCTTCCAAGATAGGGAAGAAGATTTGTGAGAGAGTAGAGATGCATTCTGATAGCCATAGTCTTTGAGAGATCTCTACATCTTTTTGGTCTAAGTTACTCTTGAATGTCTCTATTTTAATTGATCTTCGTTCATGGGGAACATTCAAAACATTGCAAGAGTAACTTTCTTTATTTATAAATCTTACTCTGTTTTGCAAGAAAATGTCAAATGACATTTTCAATGTAATTTTACATATAAAATCTATATTTTTGCCTTTTTGAGTGATAGATATAATTTTATTTAGTTAATTATACATTAAATAAGTATTTTATGATTTTCTTAATCTATATTTTTATTGATTTACTTGTTTTGTATATTCCATAAGTAAAACAGGAGAAAAGCTTTGAAGAAGCTCATCCTCTAAAACCTTAACCATTTCTCTATGAGGAAGAGTAACCATAACCACTCGGCTCATTGGCCTCTCACCAGACGGTGAAGGAAGCACTATGACCTGTCCACCTCCAGCTACATGCCCTTCAACATAGCAAGATACGTGGCTCAACATCAAATCTTCTTCGAACATCATGGGACGTGGATTCACCATGTTCTCTAGATTAGTACATACGAGATTCGAACCGTTGGATATTGGATTGTTATTATTGCTACTGAGCCACTCTACCAAGTCCATAACCGTGTCATAATCTAGTCCCTTGGTCACGTTATGAATCTCTTGAACAACGTAAGATAATAACAATAACCTATCTTTGGTGTTAACTGGTTTGGAATAGTGAACCTTGTGATAAACCATGCAGTTACCGAAATAACTTTGGTCTAAACGTAATAGTTTCCTAACGTCTAAACACAAGGACATGTCCACAAGCTCGTTCCTTTTCTCTTTGGCTCGACTCACACATACGCAGAAGAGTCCAGCCAATATCTCAAATGCTGAAAGTCCTGGCTCGTTCTCGCCTGCTTGGACCATTGGATCCGGGAACAGAAGGGTGATAGTGACCATACTATCCTCGGTTATGTTTGAAGGTGGAGCTGTTAGGGAGCAAGAAGATTTGCTGTACTGGCTAAGAAGCTGGTTGTTAGAGAGCTTATGGCTAGCGAACCTGCGAGGTGGGAGTGGGTGAAAGAGTGGTGGAGTCATCATGTTTCGAGTCAGTGTTAAATCTGCCCATGTTCGCACAAACATCATTGCACAAACTGGATCTGCTAACAGATGGCTACAACTTAACCCAATAGCTAACCCACCATTTTCAAACTCAGTCACCTGTAGATGAAAAAAACAAAAAAAATTAGACAAAACCTAACCATATTAAACTAACCAAAACCTATATGCTATAACCAATGTTCTAAAAAAGGTGTAGACAGCAAATCAATCAGTCATAAACCAAACTTTTTTAAAACATGGGATTAGACAGCAACCATGGTCGACCCTAAGATTTTGAGAAATTATAGCGATTTCTATATAAAAAAATTTTTGGGGGTCTAAAAATTTTCTCTATAATCATATAATTTTCTTCAAAATTTTTAGAAACTTGAGGCAAATGTTTCACTAGACATAACTTAGGACCGGCCCTGACAGCAACTAGACACTACTACACTAATCCCATGTAAAACGTCTAACTACCGTTTAGAGATTTATTGAACTTTGGTTATACCTGAACATAAAAGGTAGACCAATAATAAGGAAGCTGATACATGTCCTCCCAATGAACAAGCTTAAACTCTTCCTCTCTATTCACACCCCTACGCCATTCCTCAACCGTTCCTTTAGCTCTAGCCTCCACCATTCTCACCCCAGCATCGTTGCTCTTCACCTTCCACCGGTTCTCTTCCGTACCATCAGTTTCCTTAACCAACCGCCCGGTTACAATTGGATAACAATTGAGAGTATACGCTAATGATTCCCTTAATTTTTTCGTGATTTCTCCCGGTTCTCTAGACTTGGAAAACTGGTAATAGTATACTAACCGGATGTGATTCGGTTCCATGACGTGGTCAAATACTGAGAACCGGTATAATCTCCCTTGTTCAACCGGTTTCGTGCTCACTACGGTTCTTTTGCATATGAGTCTAACACGGTCCTCCTCCATTACCGTCTTCTTCGTAGCAAACATTTTATTCTTTTTTTATTAGAATTTGGTTCTTATGTGCTTGAACGTTAGTGTATATATATATATGCATGTGTGCTTTTCTTTTTTGGTGTGTAGTGTTAACAACATTTTTCATGTTTGAGCACATACTTTTCTCATGAAAAGAAAACAACCCTCACGTAGGGGAAAGTAAAACTTTCATGCTCCCCTAAAACATGTCTATTTGCCGCCGATTTGTATATATATATATACTAGGTAGAGACCCGTGCCTTGCACGGGATGAGAGTATCCAGTGCAAATATTTGAATTTAAGCTATATTTTTGTTCATGATTTACACATCCCTCTATTTGTTCAAAAAAAGCAAACAATGCTCCGTTTACTGACATTTACTGACATGTAAAGAGAAGTGTGACACTTGTTGCCTTTATCTACTCCTTGTATAAGCACTNACTAGGTAGAGACCCGTGCCTTGCACGGGATGAGAGTATCCAGTGCAAATATTTGAATTTAAGCTATATTTTTGTTCATGATTTACACATCCCTCTATTTGTTCAAAAAAAGCAAACAATGCTCCGTTTACTGACATTTACTGACATGTAAAGAGAAGTGTGACACTTGTTGCCTTTATCTACTCCTTGTATAAGCACTTCACTGTTTTCAGATACCAGACGTAGTCTTACCCATCGCCTCCTGAGCTCATCATCACTGAATGCTAAGGACCTGACTGAACCATTCATATTCAGGGTTCCCGTCAACTCTTCCTTTTTTGTGGACACAAGTAAGATATAACCTTCATTACCCACAAAAGCTTATGTTTTAGAGTCTTGTGACACCTCAAAACGTTCCAAGCTTTTCCCCTCTCTCACTCACTCACTCTTATTTGATTTGACATCTCATTTTTTTCTTTGACCATTTGGTCAGATTTTATCTCTTTTTTTTGTCAAAAGATGTATAACACAACATCCAACTCTTTTTCTCGGGGTACTAATGGTGGATCAATTTGAATTTGTCAATGTTACAAAGGCAATAACAGAGTCTTTTGTTGTAACTGTAAGGGGTTTCAGAGACAGAATATAAATACTGCTTGTTATTTTTTTCTCTCATATAATATGTATCATTGAGTAAACTTTTTGAGTATCTTCTTATGGTACGATTCATAAAATATGAAAAAAGTTTTCTTAGATAATTTCTGCAAATATGACTCTGAAAGATGTAGAATAGGTTTAAGAACCAGCACCAGAGCTGAGAGATTGTTATTCTCCAGTACTATTGATTCTGTAATTTCTCACTCATTCTTGTAGTGTACATAAAGTATCATCCTCCTTCTCTGTTCGATGAATTATGGAGATTGGAAAAGATATAAACAGTGTCAAAAAGATTTCCTAACACATTTCAACCTAAACTCTCCAAAACTTTGGCAAGTAAGATTTGTCTTCCTTCCTATAAACGATATGTGGTAATGTGACTAAGGTTTCTCTGCCTGCTTCTTTTGTTTGGAATTAAGCTTCCATATATAAATAATCGTAACTTTTATGAACCTGAATCGTTTGTTTGACCAGTAATGATGGTTTGTAATTTACTCACACAATTTTTGAAACGGCAATCCCTAAGGATGTTTAATTTTCTGGCAGATTCTTGGTAAGGATATGTCTTCAAAGATGTGGGAAATCACTTTGGACCATGGTCGATCGTGTGTTCTTAATAATAGCCAGTTGTACCAACCTCGTGGATTTGAGAAGGAAACTGCTGTGGTCTTCAATGTTGTAGCTCAAGTGAAATTCCGCTCGTGGATTTTTTTGTATATTCATGCTGAGAAGTTATCCAAAATTGAAAAGGTGCTGAGATTCCCTCTCTCTTTACACATTTTGACTTGAATACTGTTCAGGTCTTTATAAATTTTGATTTTTATTTATTTATTTAGGCTCAAGCCGAGGTAATAGTAATTGATGCATTGAGTCACCTTAATGAAGTAATCTCGTATGATGATGAGTCTTTCCATGATGAGGCACTTTCTCTAACTCTCAGTTCTTAAATCAGTGTTGGGAATGATTACTCCGGTTTGAGTTTGACCAGCTTGGAGGGTTATGGCTTTGTGTCATGGAAGGTACTCCACAGGTTTATATGACGATTTTAATCTCTAGAACTGTTCTCAGATTCTTGGCTTGGAAGAACCCAGGTTTGATTTGCAGTGTGTGCTTGGTCAGTGATTACTGTTGTGGTCGGTAAGGTACACAGCAGAAGAGGGACAAAGCTTTTCAGTGTCTCGAATGGCTCTCTGTACTCAAATATGTTACCTTTTGGAAAAATCTGACGTGGGTTAGCTACAAAGCAAAGAAAAAATGACTCGCCCAGGACGGATTCATGTGTGTATATACATAAATCGGGGAAAGCTTTGTGAATCTCGAGTTTCTGATAGTATTGAGGTGTTCCAAAGTCTTCTTCTTCTGGGTTTGTTCTTTCCATCTTTGTGTTGAAGATGTGAAAAGTTCAGTTCATTTTGGTTGAAGGCCTTCAAACCAATGTATTTTGTAAACTTTGTGGTCATATTATTCAAACACTGCAAGACAAAGGGATACAAATACCTTGAATATAAAACACTTGACTTTCTCAGATGCCCTGAATGTGATACCACAGATTCCTACATATCAACACGCAATTTTCTCCGATTCATTGATGAAGCTCAAAGTTTCCAAATTTACTTGAGGATTGAGGCAAATCAAACCTGATTTTGAAGAAACTTGTTTGACTTTAGAAGGGTTGATGATAGAACCGGAAGAATTATTCAGAGAACTTGATGAGTAAAGCAGGATGAGGAAGACGGCTACGAACAACAACATCAATCCGCGGCGAGACACCCATATTAGTTCTTAGAGCCAGAAAAAGACGTAAAGGGTGATATATTTTCCAGAAAATGATAAAGAGGAAAATTTCTATGCTTCTGTTCTCTGAATAATGTTACAGGTCGTGAAAAGTTGATGGCGACATGCACGCCTTGTTTTGCAATCAAATTTTTTGAAAGGAACGATTGCCAACTATTAATTGGTTTATGTTATAATATATTAACAAAACATATAATATAAACATCAGTGGCAATTGTTGTAAATTCTCTAGTAATTAAAGGTCTAATAATTAAGATGGTTGAGAAGAGCTGTAAACTTGCCACATTAGCCAAAATGGCAAAGTTGTTATTAATTTACTAATGTAAGGTTAGTCTTAAAAATTGCTTCCCTTTTAATAATAAGGGGATNGTTATAATATATTAACAAAACATATAATATAAACATCAGTGGCAATTGTTGTAAATTCTCTAGTAATTAAAGGTCTAATAATTAAGATGGTTGAGAAGAGCTGTAAACTTGCCACATTAGCCAAAATGGCAAAGTTGTTATTAATTTACTAATGTAAGGTTAGTCTTAAAAATTGCTTCCCTTTTAATAATAAGGGGATGTACGTAAATTAATTTTTAGAACGGACAAATTTTTAAAAATAAATTGATTAGTTGATTGAATTTGGTTAAGATAGTGACTAGAATTTGGATATTGGTAAGAAAAAAAGGCCCAAAATAAAAGTTCTTGCTGGGCTAAATAGTCCATGAACTCTCATTACAAGCCCAAAACTAACGAACACATCGAAAACGCCGTCGTTTGTAGCTTTCTGAAATTACCCATGCGCATGTAGAAGCGCGTGATATACAGTCCCCTCAATATCTTCAGATCACAAGGCTCTGATTATTTCTTCCGTCGGAGAGAGAGAGAGAGAGAGAAGCAGATCTTCTCATCACGACCCTTGCAATAAGAGATAGAGAGAGAGAGAGAGAATGTCAATGGTTGATGCGAGCTCGTGGGGCGCGGCGTTGGTAAGGATCTCGCCGTACACTTTCTCCGCTATTGGAATCGCCATCTCGATCGGCGTCTCTGTCCTCGGAGCCGCCTGGTAAATCCAATCATTACGGTTTCAATTGATTCTGTAATGCTGAAATTCGAGATTGACCTGCGAAAGATCGTGTTTGACCAATCTATTTGATTTGTCAGGGGAATTTACATAACGGGAAGTAGTTTGATCGGTGCGGCCATTGAAGCTCCTCGTATTACTTCCAAGAATCTCATCAGGTATCCTTCAAAGTTTCTACTTTTGTCGTTATATGTGTTAATTTCTATCCTTTTGTGGATCAACTGAGTTTGAATTTTAAGATCCATTGAAGGATTCTTTGATATCATCTTTCTGAATGCCAATGATAATCCATGGCTGAGAAGTTAATTTTTTTATTTTAATGCACATCTCTGCAAGGATAGATAGTCACATCATGATTAGCAGAAAATGTTGTTGTATGGTCTTGTATGGTTGTGTGTGCTTAAACAAGATAAATAGTGTGAAGGTTCTGGCTTTGGGGATCCAATCCAAGCACTGAATGTGATGATAAAGAACTGTCTTTGTGTGTTTTCCACTCATTTCAGCAGATATATATGTTTTTTTCTCTCTCATCTATATAGCTTATGTTAAATGAGAGGGTAAAGATAAAAAGTCTTATCTTAAAGCGTCAATATTTACATTACCACAATCCGTTTGTGAACCATATTGAGAAGAGAGTTTGGCTCTAAAGTGTACTACTACCAGGGAATGCTTAATCACGACAAATCTGTTCTGTAATTTGATTGGTTGTTACTGAACTTAGTGCTCGGACATTGATGCTAGAACTATGCAATGACTAAGTATTTCTCTTTTTTCAGTGTAATCTTTTGCGAAGCTGTAGCTATATATGGCGTTATTGTTGCCATCATTCTGCAAACGAAATTGGAGAGTGTCCCCACTTCAAAGATGTATGACGCTGAATCTCTCAGAGCTGGATATGCAATCTTCGCATCTGGAATCATTGTTGGATTCGCCAACCTTGTATGCGGGTATGTATCTTCTTCATTCGCTAATTCTCCTTTCATACAGTTTTTTTTTTCGGACCGTCAAATATGCAACCAAGGTCACGTTTTCTCCTCCTGCAGGTTATGTGTAGGAATCATTGGAAGCAGTTGCGCACTATCTGATGCTCAAAACTCGACACTCTTTGTGAAGATTCTTGTGATTGAGATCTTCGGAAGCGCTCTCGGGTTGTTTGGAGTTATTGTGGGGATCATTATGTCCGCACAAGCAACATGGCCGACTAAATAGATAATAACCGGTCTGAAACTGTTGTGATCTCTGGAAAGAACATGTCTTCTTGATTATCTTCGTTGTTATATGGATACTCTCACGTGTAGAAGAAAAACCTCTGTGTGAACTGAGGACGCACTTTTGGATCCCTTTTTTTTTTGTATTATTTAAAATTCCGGAATAAGTCAAGTTGGAGAACATCGTCTTCATATGTTTGTATTCACGTTGGTTGTTCTCTATTTATCAAAAACAGAGTTTGTATATGATTTGTTTAAAATTGAAAATTCATTCAATGATTATGTTTCTCTCCACCAGTTAAGACTGCCCTGCAATAAATGTACACAATCTTTCAACGTCACCTTAATTACACACCATTAAAGTTGCTAACTGTACCAGCCGGTTAATCCTAAACCGAATATTTCAGTAAGACGACGTCGTTTATGATATTTTTTTATTCGGTGGTTGTCCCGTTCTTGGAACCTGAACCTTTTGTTGAGGTTTGTGTAAAACCCTAAGCATATATGTACGTCGTCATCTTAGCATCTGCTAGAGCGTATCCTTTCCATATCTATCTTCATCTCTCGACTCCATCTCCATCTAAAGCTCAAAACTTTATCAACCGTACAGGTGAGTGTTGCTCGTCCTCGTTTACATTAGTTTAGTTCCCGGAAAAAAATTCATTGGAATTCACTCTGTTATTTGATTAATTCGGATTTGGTTTTGGGAGTCAGTAGCTGATAATATGATATGTTGCTTATCTCTGATGTTAAACGATGTTTGTCTCTGATTGAAAGTTTAAATCTTTCCTTTTTATTGAGTCAGATAGAAACAGTCCGCCTCTGTTCTTCGTATTTGATTTGTTTAATTATATTGTCTTACCACATCATCAGTAATTGGCCTTGTTTGTAGATTTTGTTCCTGTTATAATTGGATTTTTTTTTTGTTGTGAGTGTAGAAGTAGAGAAATAATGGAAGCTTGTTGTGGAGCTACTTCAATGGGTTCTCTTCAGCAACCTGGAGCAGTTCAAGGACCTGTCTTTGCCCCAGTTACCAAGTTTTCTCAGCAACTGAAGTTCACTTTCCCGAGACCTGTCCGTTCTTTGTCTCTGAAAAGAAGCCTGGTTGTTGAAAGAAGAGCGTCTCAAGTCTCGGTACCTGCCGTTGAGACTAGCAGTAAGAGAGTTTTGTTTTCAATATTTTGATTCGATGAAGGAAATGGGTTTATGTGTGGTTTTGATTATTATGATTGTGACTGGTATTTAGGCAATGAAATCCCTTTTGAGGACTATGGTCGTAGTGAAGTTGATCCAGAAGTGGACGAGATTATCAAAAAGGAGAAAAACAGACAGTTCAGGAGCTTGGAGCTTATTGCTTCCGAGAACTTCACGTCTCGAGCTGTTATGGAGACTGTTGGATCATGCCTCACCAACAAGTATTCTGAAGGACTACCTGGTAAAAGGTAATTAACTATGTATGATTGTGTTTTCTGACCCTCTTTTTGTTACTCAACTGCTAGATTTCATAGGCGTGCTGTTGTTCCATGTCTCACAGGTATTATGGTGGCAATGAGTTCATCGATCAGTTGGAGACACTTTGCCAGAACCGGGCTTTAGCTACCTTCCGGTTAGATTCAACCAAGTGGGGGGTTAACGTTCAGCCGTTATCTGGCTCACCTGCAAACTTTGCTGTGTACACCGCCATACTTAAGCCTCATGATAGAATCATGGTTAGTGATGATGGCTAACCCTCTTCAACTCATCTTTTCTTGTGTGTTTCATATTTTACTAAATATGAGTGGATTGTTTGAGCATATAGGGTTTGGATTTACCTCACGGAGGCCATCTCTCACATGGGTTCATGACTGCCAAAAGGCGTGTATCTGGAACTTCAATATACTTTGAGTCCATGCCTTATCGACTTGATGAATCAACAGGTGGGTGCATTTTCTTATAATATAGGAGGATCTCAGCAACTACTTTTATATGAGTCTATTTTACTGATGTCTGAATATTTTGATCAGGCATTGTGGACTATGATATGCTCGAGAAGACTGCTGCTCTGTTTCGACCAAAGCTTATAATCGCAGGAGCTAGTGCCTACAGCCGAGATTTTGACTATCCTCGCATGAGGAAGGTAAGACCAAACCATCATCCTTGAATAATTGCTTTATGGTTTCTGTCTAGTGTTTGGCTTAACGTCTGATGTTTCATTTTCCTCGCAACTTGTATGTATTTTTATAGATTGCAGACTCAGTTGGTGCATTTCTGATGATGGATATGGCTCATATTAGTGGACTTGTGGCTGCCTCTGTGGTAGCTGATCCTTTTGAGTATTGTGATATTGTCACAACCACCACTCACAAGGTACGTATGCTTGGACTCTGAAACACATTTTCCATTCAGTTAAATCCGAAATTGAATAGTTTTTTTATACTTTTCTTTATTAGTCTTTGAGGGGTCCGAGAGGTGGCATGATCTTCTTCAAAAAGGATCCAGTTAATGGGGTTGAACTTGAATCTGCAATTAACAATGCTGTCTTCCCTGGTCTGCAGGTTGAGATAGTGACCACTCCTTCTAGCTTTCTCAAATAATTCTATCTTTGGACGTGATTAATATATGTTGCCTTGTATTGTATATGTCTAGGGTGGTCCTCATAACCACACAATTGGAGGATTAGCAGTCTGCTTGAAACATGCGCAGTCGCCTGAATTCAAGGCTTACCAGAAAAGAGTACTCACCCTTTTTTGCTTGATCATTAACTTCTGCACCTGATAGAATTTGGAAAATTAGCTTATGAGATAATCTTATGTTGCTTGTTTAGGTTGTGGCTAACTGTAGGGCTCTAGCTAACCGGTTGGTTGAACTCGGGTTTGAGCTGGTTTCCGGTGGCAGTGACAATCATCTTGTCCTCGTTGATCTTAGACCACTGGTAAGTCCTTACAAACTCTTCTGATTGGCTATTTTCCCAAAACCAGAGAATCATCATCACTTATCATGATAGATATCAACCAAATATCTTTTTTGGTATTGGTTAGGGCATGGATGGTGCTCGAGTTGAGAAAATCTTAGACATGGCATCTATTACACTCAACAAGAACTCTGTCCCTGGTTAGCCTCTTCCCCTTCAACATAGAACTTGTAGAACAGAGAACTAGAGCTGAGAAATAGCGTTTGGGTATCTGTGTGTTGAGTTGTGAAAAATGTGAATACAGGGGATAAGAGCGCGTTGGTTCCAGGAGGAATAAGGATAGGAACGCCTGCGATGACGACAAGAGGACTGACAGAGAAAGACTTTGTGGTGGTCGCAGACTTGATCAAGGAAGGTGTTGAGATAACAATGGAAGCCAAGAAGTTGGCATCAGGAACAAAGCTTGGTGAGTTCACAAAACTGGTGACTTCTCCTGAATTCCCATTGAAAGAGAAAGTGGAGTCTCTCAAGAACAGAGTGGAATCATTCACCTCTCGTTTCCCCATTCCCGGAGTTTAAAGGTTTTATTTTTATTAAAAAAAAAAACAGATGGTGGTGTCTTGTTGTACTTTTTTTAATTATGGAGGGTTTGATGAGCTTGCGTATGTCCCAAGGCAAGATATAAAATAATATCGTTAAAAAAGAGAGAGAGAAATATTTGAAATAAAGTATTAAATAAGAAAGAAGCAGCAGCTATTTAGCGGGAGGTGGCGAATGTATCTTTCTATTATTTTCTCTCTCACCCAATCTTTCTCCTCTTCAAATATCATCTCTGCCTCAGGGAGGCACTCTTTCTCTCTCTCTAAAACAGAAAGGAAGAGAGAGAGAGAGATCCGATCCTCTCCTTCCTTCTCCCTCCCAACCGTAATCTTACTGGAAATCAGATCTTTCCACGTTGGTGGATTTTTTTTCCTCCGGCGTTCATATTACGGCAGGCCAGGATCATCTACCACTTTCTTCTTCTCCTCCTCCTCCAGGTGCAAGATTGTGTTAGTGCATGAACTTTGGATTACGATTCGTTTCTTAGGTCGAAAAGTTAAGAAAATGATGATTGTTTGATTTTACAGAAACTTTGTGTGTTTACTTTTGATCGATTTGTGTATAAGACATTCATTGAAAGTGCGTTTTTCGATCTGAAGGTGGAATCGTATTTGCTGATGATTGCTTGATTTACAGAAACTTTGGCTTCGATTTTTTTGGATCATGATTCAGAGACACTTTCTCTTCTATTTGATATTCCGCAAGGCTCTTTCTATGGTTATTTGATAGATTAGGGAAACAGGCATTGATTGCTTTTTCGTTTATATATGATTTATAGCTTATTTTCGCTTTGTTTCATTCGATCTATAGACATTGCTGATCCCTGAAGGTCAGCCATGGAAGGAGCCAATACCCTGTTTGCGGGAGTTATTAACGATTTCAATGGAAGAAGAAAGTGTTACAAACAAGACTGGCTTGCTGCCTTCAATTCTGGTGTTAGGTATGTCCTGTGATCATATCCTTTATTGTAAGGCTTTTGGTTTTCTAACTATCAATTGATCTCAGGATACTGGCACCAACTCTTTACATTTTCATTGCATCTGCACTTCCTGTGATTGCATTCGGCGAGCAGTTAAGCAGGGAGACAGGTGAGGAAATATATATATATATCACTATCATAGATTTGTTACTTCCGGAGAATCTGTATGAAGGTGCCTTCTTTTACTTTCAGATCGAAGTCTTGGCATTGTGGAATCATTAGCTTCCACTGCTATTTGTGGAATTATCCATTCCATTTTTGGTGGACAGCCTCTGTTGATTGTAGGTGTTGCAGAACCCACTATTATTATGTACACATACCTTCACAGCTTTAGTAAAGGCAGGCCTGAACTGGGTCAGAAACTCTACTTAGCCTGGGCAGGATGGTAATGTGAACTAGTACATCTATCATTCTCCCTCCTCTTTTCTTGCTAATTGCTCTTTCATTTACATATTAGAGAATTGTTTTCTTTTTAACAGGGTCTGTGTTTGGACAGCAGTTTTGCTTATCCTTCTTGCAATGTTAAACGCCTCCAACATCATTTCTAGATTTACAAGAATTGCAGGAGAGCTCTTTGGAATGCTTATCACCGTTCTGTTTTTCCAAGAGGCTGTTAAGGTTCTGATGCCTAACTAATTCCCACTGGTTAAATTTCATACAAAACTCACTTCAAAACTTTAAGAGATGTTTGTTTCCTAATGCAGGGACTTCTCGGCGAGTTTCTTGTCCCAAAATCTGAAGATCCAAGATTGGAGGTGTATCAGTCTCAATGGCGGTATACCAATGGGCTTCTTGCAGTCATCTTCTCATTCGGTCTTCTTTACACTGCTCTAAAAAGCAGGAGGGCACGTTCATGGAGATATGGCTTTAGTATGTGAACATTTGTGGTGTCTCTATATAAGTAAAATACTTGACAGAATCATTTACTGGAACAATAACCAGCTTCCTCTTTGCAGGGTGGATGCGAGGTTTTATAGGGGATTATGGAACTCTCCTCATGCTTGTGTTGTGGAGCGCACTCTCATTCACAGTCCCCAGAGATATTCCTGAAGGAGTTCCAAGGAGGCTGGATTTACCTCTTCCTTGGGATACTGAATCCATGTATCACTGGACAGTAGTCAAGGTACTACTACAAACCTAGCGAATCCAACATTACAGAATACAGATGGAGTTTTATAATTTGTGTTGGAAAATTCTTGCTGTTTGAACAAATCTGCAGGATATGGGAAAGGTCCCGCCTCTTTACATCCTTGCTGCATTTATACCAGCTATCATGATAGCAGGTTTATACTTCTTTGATCACTGTGTATCTGCGCAAATGGCTCAGCAGAAGGAGTTCAATCTGAAAAATCCGTCGGCTTATCACTATGACATCTTTATTTTAGGAATCATGGTATGGTTCTGATGATGCCTTACGTATGGTTTAGTGTTACATGAATGAATGTGAATACTAATCCGTTTCTAAGTTATTTGTAGACATTAATCTGTGGCTTACTTGGACTTCCTCCTTCGAACGGTGTCATTCCACAATCCCCTATGCACACAAAGAGTCTTGCAGTTCTTAAGAGGCAGCAAATGCGAAAGAAAATGGTCCAGAAAGCCAAAGAATGCATAAAGGCAAAAGCAAGCAACTCAGAGATATACGGGAAGATGCAAGATGTGTTTATAGAAATGGAAACATCACCCAAGGTATGTAAAACATATCCTTCTCGTTAGTTCATCTCTTACTCTTCTGCTGTCAAGAACTTAATGTCTCATATATGAATCAGATACCTATGCAGACTACTTCAGTGGTGAAAGAGCTAGAAAACTTGAAACAAGCAGTGATGAAAGCAGACGGTGGAGAAGGAGACACAAAGGGAAAGAAGTTTGATCCAGAAGTACTTATCGAAGACCATTTGCCTGTACGAGTAAATGAGCAAAGAGTGAGCAATCTCTTGCAATCAATCCTTGTTGGATTGTTGATATTCGCAGTACCACTTCTCAGAATGATACCAACTTCAGTTCTGTGGGGTTACTTCACTTACATGGCTGTTGATAGTCTCCCTGGGAATCAGTTCTGGGAAAGACTTCTGCTACTATTCATCACTCCTGGTCGTCGATTCAAGTACTATACATCAAATTTAACTCTATTAACTTTACGTTTTTATAAAATGTTCTGAGACTTGCGATTCTTCTTATGTCTTTGTGTGTGAAACAGAGTTCTTGAAGGCTTACATGCATCATTTGTGGAAATCGTACCGTACAAGTCGATTGTTATGTTTACACTCTTCCAGCTTCTGTATTTTTTGATATGCTATGGAGTGACGTGGATACCTGTTGGAGGGATTCTGTTCCCATTGCCATTCTTCTTCCTCATTGCTTTAAGACAACACATCCTCCCCAAGATATTTGATCCATCTCATCTCCAAGTTTTAGATTCTTCAGAGTATGAAGAGATGGTTGGTGCAACACACTCCAGCTTCGGTATCAATGTAAGCACATTCTCGGTTTTTCTGTGTTTGTCTCCAGTGTATAAAAATGTCTAATGTGGATTCATTGAAACTGTCTTTTTTGGGGGGGAGCAGGGGGAGCCGCATAATATTCCTTTGAGTTCTGTTGAGATCAGTGAAGACGAGTTTTACGATGCAGAGATTCTTGATGAGTTTACAACAAGCAGAGGTGAACTCAAACATAGAACCCTAAGTGCCAGGGAAGGCAGATCCCAAGTGGTAAATATATATTGACTCAGACCATAAATACTATTTGGTTTTCACCCTTCTCACATATTGTTTGATGTAACTACCATCAGGTGTATCCGGAAAACAGTGGAAATTCCTAAGTCTTTGTATAAAGGAACAAATATTTTGAAGAATGCTGAAACCACAGATTAAAAGCAAGAAGATGTTAGAGGCAATAGAAGAAGTGAGCAGAAAGAGGTGGGGAAAGAGAGATAGAGGATACAACAACAAACAAAACTTCCTGATTGTTTCTTCTCTGAAACGTTATTTTTTGGTTTCCTCACTTTTGATATATCTTTGCTTTCTCCAATTGTTTTTATAACTCTAACAAAAAGAAAAGAAAAAAAGTACAGATCACACGACAGTTCTTTCGTTTTCTCTGCCTTTAGGGCTAAACAGAGGAAGTTTTTGTTTACTTTCTTTTTGCTTGTTTAGAAATAAAAAGGATTTCACTGCCATAATTACCAAATGAGGGAAAAAAAATTTAATCATTAATCTTTTAATTCGTGTGTGTTATAATTCTTTAAAGTACATGTTTATATTCGTTTAAGTTGCATTTCAATGATCTTGGAGTATAAAAACGAAAGCGATTGTAATGAATAATAAAACGGATTATAGTAACTCCATTGATTAGTATGGAAGACAACTTAAGAGTGCTTGCTTGTTCAACAAGAAACCTTGAGAAGAAGGAGAAAATCGCCGTCTCTTATAAGCCTGATGTCATCGATTTGAGCTCCTTCTCTCGTCAGAATCTTTGTGGCAACAAACCCCAGTTTCTTCTCACCTATTTCAATTAACTCCTCCAGTGAATTTGGTAGCTTCACCACTTTACCAGCAGAGGAAGCCTCACCACTGATCGTCACTCTCGCCGGATAAACCCCGCCAAAGTCTTCGCTTCTTGCAGATGCTCCTCCTCCTTCATCACCTGAGGATTCAAGAGAGAAAGTGTCTCTTACTGTTTAAGGAGAGAGAGTATAATATTTTGTTCCAATGAAGAGAGAGAGAGTAAGAGGCGTGTTACCAGTGTTTGCAGCCGACATGATGCCAAACAGCGAGTTCTTGAAGTTACTGATCTTCCTTCTCTGAGAGCCAGTTCGAAGAAAAGGCATCGATTCCCTTGAACGGTGGTGAATCATTACAGGCTCACTACTATGCTTCATCAGTGGTGTAGTATTCTCTGGTGTACCGGAAGCTGATTTAGGTATCTTCTCCACAGGTCTCTGACTGTGAAACAAAGCTTTAATGTCTTCATGCCCTTGATGCTCAGCAAGACCACGAGCCGTCCAACCGTAAACATCTGGCGCGTCCATATCAGCTCCTTGCTCTAACAAGAACTCCACAATCTCCATGTTCCCTTCTGAGACTGCTCTATGGAGAGCTGTGGTTCCGTTGCTGTCTGGGAGTGAGATATCTCCGCCGTACTTTACAATGTCTTTGAGTGCATCTAAGCTGTTTTGTTCAACGGCTAGGCAAGAGAAATGGGATATTGTGTCTGGACTTAGCTTTGCGCCGTTGTCCCATAAGAGTTTAGAAATTTCTTCATGTCGCCCAATGATTGCTTCCCACAATGGTACACTTCCTTCCGAATCTGCAAAATGATAATTAATAGATGATTACCGGATTTATATGCACTCAAATGGACTCATTAATAATTGGTCAGTATATACCTTTGATGTTAGTATCTGCTCCATGCTCGAGAAGTAAAACAACACAGTAGTGGCATCCTTTCGATGCTGCTATATGCTGAGATAGAATATTACACAGTACACAAACATTAGCACAAATATATGGAAGTCTGTTAATTCAGAGGATTTTAGTGACTGACCAGTGCGGTTCGACCGTTCTTATCGGTTTCATTAGGGTTTGAGCCTCGTTTGAGTAACTGATGGAGCAGTAAATCGTCTCCTCTAGCCGCTGCAAAACATAAGCTGAGAGGTAAATCCATTTTCCCTTGAGCCAACATCTGTTCTGTATCAGCCAAAATGCCTTTCATCACTGGATCTTCTGAGTCTTTCAGATGCTGCATAAGACCATAACATTTCTCAATACAAACCCGCTAAAATTCTGTAGGCACTATGGTTTTATATAGCTTCGAACCAACCTGAAGTAGATTATTCATGATTATTGCCCCATCACCAACATTTGCCTGAACAAGATTTAAGAACGCTGTACGGTTCAGACGAAGTAGCTGACTCAATCGCTTGGTACGAACTGTGAACAGCTGTGGCCTGTAACATAGCACCCCAACTTCACCAAAAACATGACCAGGCTGTGCTTCACCAACTACCTGAAATGAAGACACAAAATCACATCTTAGAATAACACAAATCACATTTTGAACCAATCTTAAAAGAGGATTAAGAATTCAGCTTTTACCTGATCCACTCCATTCACAGGTGCAATGATTTCCTGTCGTATAGTAAAAATGTCGTCTAAGTTTATAAAAATCATATGGAGAAGTAGAATTCTACACAGCTAATATAAAGCAAGAAAACTCACAGCAGCTCCTGTCACCATAATGTAAAAGTCTGTCGGTGCTTCATTCCTCAAAATCACATCTTCTTTGGGAGGAAAATACTCAGCCTTCATCTCAGAGACCTACATAACATCAGAGGGTTAATGTTTGTGTTTCATTAGAGGAAGCTGTTTAGGTAGTCAAGTGAATTTTTGAGATGAAACAACATACCAATTGAAACAGAAGATCATTGGATATTCCATGGAACAAGTAAATCTTGTCAACAACTTCATAGAACAGATAATGCGATATGCTGGAACGAATAGCTTTGGGTAGAGAGTCGATAATTTCTTGCTGCTGCAAACCTTCTGAATCAGTTCTGTACCTCAAAGACAAATGAGCTACCATCTGTTCTTGCAAGCGCTCTGGAAGTTTGTTCCTCTGAGCAAACGCTGAGGCAGCTTGGATGGTATCTCTCTGAAATAAACAAAATGAGCACGAGTGAGTTTATTGATTAAACTAGACCAGTTGCCAAGATATAGTTCTTGGATAATGTGTCTGAAGCAATTAATCAAACCATAAACGGAACTTACAAAGTTTCTGGTGCGACTGGTCACATGAACCACCAAGTTGGTCATATTACCAATAATATAAGCTAACAGTCCAAGATTGAAGATCATGTAGAAGAGAATGAAGGCCCTCTCACTTGCATTATTACCATGTATATCACCATAACCCGTGGTTGAGAAGGTGGTTATGGACCAATACATTGCTGTGACATACCGGATAAGCAAAGATTTCTGTGTCCAGTTTGGCTCCGCAAGTGCCATAAAAGTCATGGAAGGGTCTGGGTAATGCGCAGCAATAGAGTAGCAGAAGCAGGCGCCACAATGAACCACAAAGAGAGCAACCTACATTAAAACCAACAATGTCTTATTAAACTAAGAGCAAAAGTAGGTAGCTGCTTAATAAATGTAAGCTCGTGTAAAGATAAGTCACTAACGAGGAGAAGCTTTGTGCATCGAACCCAAAAGTAGTTGTATTTCCGATCTTTCTCCAATCTGATTATTTTTTTAGAAAAACATTAAAGAAATATTATGACAAAGGAAGACAAGTGTATGATGATTCATATTTAATTAGTTGAAACACTTATTCCAGTCTCTCACCTGGCAAAACAATTACTAGCCCTGCGAAGACGCCATAGACGCAACATACTGAAAATGCCATATCCTTGAATAGTATTATGCAATAAGCTGCCAAAAAGTTCATAAGGAACTGTGGAAACGACATCAAAAATGAGCCAAGTCGAGACATATCTCCAAGCTATTCTCTTGGGATCATCGACAAGAAGATAAGTTGCCTTGTCCAAGAAGGCAACAAAGAACGTCAAAACGATATCAATCGCGAAAAATCCATTGACGACGTTATCTATAATACTGAGAGGTGCTCTTGGTGTTTGCAGGTAACCAAACTCAAAAGGAGACGCCCAAGCTGTGTAGACCACCAATAGCACTAGAAACCAATCCCACGCCCTGAAAAAAAAATAGCAACATTAATTAATTAATCATTCGTGAATTTATCATTTGAAACAAGAGTGATTATATTTACTTAGTGATAGTAAATAAGGAAGACAAAAAAAAACACAAAACGAGAATTCACATAGTATACAAAAAGCAATACGATGCTCTATTGAATAAAATCGATTAATACGATTCGTGTAATGCCTTTGAACACGAGCATTACATCGAACACTACGGATTCAAAATAGATTCATCGTTCCTTCTAAATTGAGTAACAAAAACTCAAGGATCCAGAAATCTCGTAAGAGCGCGGTAACGAGAAGGCAAGCATGCAGATAGAAAATAACCTAGCTCCTCCACACAACAACGATCTGTCTACCACAAAATCTCAATCCAATCAAAGAATCGGTTTAAGCGAAATCCGATTATTACTACCTGTAACGAGGATCGAAGGGAGAGACGATGAAGAAACGGAGCTTAACATGACGGGAAGAGCCAGAATTAACACCTAACGGCGGAAGAAGCCCCTTGCTAAAGCTGTAATGACTCATCGTCTCTTCCGTCGAAACATGCTCCGCCGCAACGTCCTCCGCCTCCTTGATCGAAACTCCACCGCCGCCGCCGTCGTGTTTCTCCGGCCAAAACCACACTTTCTTCTTCCTCCTATCCATCTCAAATCGATCTTATACTCTCTCTCTCTCTCTCTCTCGATTCGTAACAGAATACGAAAAAACGATTTAATTCTTTAACAGAAAAAACGTTCACGTTCCGTTGTCGAGAGAGGGAGCGTACACATGGGATGGTCTCCTTTTCCGATTACGTTGCTCTAAACTTGGTGTGTGATGAGACCTTTCTGTTAGGGCGTGTATGTGTGTGTTTATATTCGTTTGTATTTACCTTTTTGCCCCTTTAACTGATTTCCCTCCTTATTTCCTCTTCTTCATTGGTGCGTGTATATATAATAGAAAAAGAAACTTTTCTGTTCTGACTTGGATTTCTTACCATATATTGAATTGACTGAGACATTTAAACGCATGGTGAATTTATTGCTATTGTCTCTGACTACCGTATTAAATGTACGCGGTTGATACATAAAAAATATTCAAGGAAACATTCAAATACAATACTAGTACTTTTAATTTCAAAGTTACCATAAATTTTGAAATTATATATTCCTAAAATTTCAAGACTTTTTGCTAAACATCTACCGTTCGTTTTGTTTTTGAAATTCCAAAGATACACACCCACTACTAGAAAACAACCTCGTGTTCTTGCATTGAATGTTGAATTGATATTATTCCCTTTATAAAGAAACGGAAGTGCGAATTGTAGATTCATTAGAGGAAAGAAATTAAGTGGAAGTTGACTAATATTCTATAAATCTACCATTTAGGATAAATTTTGCATTTATAATGATTTCTCCATCGGATAAGTATATTCTTCAGATTCTTCTGTCATTTATCATTATTCCTCTCATTCAAATACTATTCATCTAATCACTCCCACTCGATAGAAAAGAGGTGATTATTCTTGTTTTAATTTTAAAAGATTTAATTATAAAGTTCTTTTTTGGGGAGTGAACGAATAGACTGACATGACCCACTATGTCCATGAATACACGCAGCCCCACAAATGAGCATTTTAACTGACCCACTAAAGGCCCACTAAAACGACACGAACACGACGTCGTTTTAATTTCCGTTTGTAAATATGCCCTCCTCTCTCCCAGGAGCAAACCAGCTTTTGTTGCGCAACCGTTGAAGAAAGAGTGAGTCCCTCTCAAAAAATGTCGACGTTTCTGCAATCGTTCCTCGATCCAAAGAAGAACTTCCTCGCTCGTATGCATATGAACACCGTATCCACACGCCTTCGTAGATACGGTAAGATCTCTCTCTCTATCGAAATACCTTAATTTTTTCCGAATCTGGATTTGTTGATTCTGATTTGCAATTTGTGTTTTGATTGGAAATGGTCAGGTCTCAGATACGATGATCTATTCGATCAGTACGAGGCTATGGACATTAAGGAAGCTCTGAACAGATTGCCCAGGGAGGTCGTTGACGCTCGTAACCAGCGTCTCAAACGTGCGATGGATCTCTCCATGAAGCACGAGTACCTTCCCGAGGATCTTCAGGTAACTGAGGGTTATAGAGCAAAAACTAATGTTAGATTCAGTTTCGTTTTCTTGTGGAATGTTAAAGGGAATTGATAATGGAGCTTTGATGTATGTATAAGGTAGAATATTATATGCTTGCCTCGTGCGTTACTTTTGTGAACACTCTGCTCTTGCAAGAGTTTATTAGAATTATAATCTGGATTGAATTAAATGGATGTTGGATTTGTTTTCTTTCATATCCATAATGTGAAATGGTGATTACGTGTTATATTATTGTGTTACTGATGTTTTGAGTTATCATATATAATGTAATTGTTGGAGTCAGTTTCATTTTTCTTGTAGAATGTTAAAGGGAATTAATAGTGGAGCTTAGGTGTATCCGTGTATGTATAAGCTAGTTAACGAATGTTATATGCTTGCCTCTTGCGTTACTTTGAGAGCTCTGCTCTTGCTATAGTTTATTAGAATTAGCTGGATTGAATAAAAAGGATGTTGCATTGATTTTTTCATATGCATAAAGCGAAATGGTGATTACATGTTATACGATTGTGTTACTGTTGTTTTATGATATCATAGAATGTAAGTATGTAACTGTTTGGCATCCGTTTGACATTTTTTATTCGATATACAGGCGAAGCAGACCCCATTCCGTGGCTATCTTAAGGAGATGCTGGCTCTCGTAAGTCTCTTGTGATCCATATCTGCCTATAGGTGTAGGGAGAAGTTTAGTGTTGCAATAGCATTTTAATCCTACGTGCAGTTTAGCCTGTCTGCTTTCTTACGTTAACATGCTTGTGATCTTCAGTTTGTTTCATGGTACCTGAAACAATTATTTAAGACTATGAAGGCAAGAATTGTCCTCTGTTGTTTGAATCAAGATGTTGTTTATTTTCCTATACTAGGAAGTCTTGCATCAGAAAAGAACACTGTTTAGAGTGTTTCTTTAAAGATGGACCATCACCATTATCTATTATCATTAGTCAGTCTATCATCACTTTGTTTATGGTTGGGTGTGTGTTTGCAGGTTGAAAGAGAAAGAAAGGAACGTGAAGCCTTGGGAGCTCTACCACTCTACCAGCGCACATTCCCTTAAGCATATTTTTCCTTATTTTCTGATCAACTCTACTTCTCTGCATAAAGCTCCTCTCCAGATGGATTAAATTTTGGTATTTTTGGAAATCACATTCCGAACAGAGCTATTTTCTTCCTGAAAAGGCATAAGTCTTGTGATTCTTTTCTAAATGGGATGTTGCTTATTACATTTTTCAGTTTTGCTAGCATGAATAAAATCGACGACACAACACGGGGTCTGGTTTAATGATTCTCATTTTCTTACATTCCTTTGGTGTTTTATTTATATGATTGTTTCCAAGTTTAATGCAATCAGACGTAAATGCCATGATTCTATATGTAAATTTGGATAAGCCATGTTGAAAATAACCTATGGTTTCAAGCATAGCAACACATGGGTATTGGGTGGTACGTATTTCACAGCTTACAAACATCAAAATATATCTAATGCAAACATTAGTAGAACTGTTACATGTATATTCGAAGACTGGTGTAACGTTTGACTGAATTAAAAAAAAACTGCTTGATAGAGAAAAAAATAACGAGCGAGTGGAAAAGTGAAAGTTACCCACGTTAATGACTACATGAGTTTTGACCTTCTTAGCATATCGAAGTTGGGAAATGAAACTTGGGATTTGAAGAACAAGATATTATATATACTATCAACATGACATGAATCATTCATACGATAAGAGAGACCCATGTTATGAATATATATAATACTATAACTATAATTACTACGGTTAGGGAGGATTATATTAAATATATCCAGAAAAGAACGTTTGCATGTGAGTGAGTAGACTGGGACACAAGTCTTTAATAGATTCAGGCCAGATCTCTTCTTTTAGTTACACATCTCCCTCTCTGTCCCCTTATTTATCCTTATCTCCTCTTTTTCTTTTGCTCTCTTTCATTTACATAAATGTAGATTCGAATTGTTAGGAGAATAACAAGAATATTAAATAATGACTCTTGAGACTCGAGTACATTATGAGAGTTTTATGATTTTATCCCATTGATGTTGCATGCGACTGGATCTTGGATTGGTCCATTGATGTGAACATTAAGAATATACTCAAGGTGGAGATATACTACATATTGGTTTTAGAGATTGGTTTGTTCATTTGTAAACTTTCCATTTATTTGAATTTGGATGTTTCTTTTAAGGCGCAAAAAAATGATTTATTACGTTGTACGAACGAACTTCTGGAGGGTGGACAATAAAGTCGGTTGCATGTGATTCATTGACACAGACTGGATCGTCTTTTGTGTGTTTTAAGTTAGGTTTAGTAATTAGTATCCATTTTCGTTAATCAAAGCTTATTGTAAGCAACAACTGTTTAGTTTTTACCATCAGTACCAATATATATAAAGTTGACGAGACTTTAAGACACTGTCATCGATGAGAATGAGAAACATAGATTATTTTCTTACGTCGAGAAGAAATATAAACAGTAAGTCACAAAATAATCACGTGAGATAAGCACATTAAGTGTAATGTGTCTTCCAAAGTCCTACCAATCTATGTTATAGTATATAATAGTTCGATGTTTTAGACTAATTAGAGAATTATATAAAAGCGAAGATGTAGTATATGATATTGCCGTTGCCACCACAGAGTGTAGAATTCACATGTCACATTAAATAGGTTAGTTAGAACTTTTAGTTCAAATAAGTAAAACATTTAACTAGTTTTGCAAACGAAGAAAGACAATAGTCAAAATGTCGTTTGGTTAAAACTTAATTGGTCCACTTTCCCATGCATGCAGGCTATATCTTTTTATAGTCTTTTATTGGATATATGTAGTGTTTCGGCATGTAAAAACAAAGTTAGACTACTATATGACCCCGATTAAATGCCAGAATCATAAATTTTGGTTTAACCACAAACACATAGAAATGCGATACTATAATAGTCAAATTTTTAATTGTAAACAAAAGTTTGCTCAATCTAACAATCATTTTTAAAATTTTGGTCTTTATCACTAGAATTTCTCCAATCGACTGAAGTAGATATGGTCTCATCTTATTTGTAATTTATTAGTAATTTTTGAATATTCACTTATGGACATATTTTTTTTCCGCAACGCATGTGTATGTATTTATAAACACGCACGCACTATGTTGGTCAGGACAATAATTTGCGCAATAAAAGCGCACCGCTAAGAGAGTCGGTGGCCTTTCTTTGCAGTGATCCATTCGTTCTGACGATGCGCAGACAAAATTCGATTATTCTTAATATATTTTAATATCATATCACTTATTCATTCGCGGATCAGATTTGCTATTGACTACTCTCAGAGGTAAGGATAAACCATTTCACAAAACAATTATTGCGTATCATTTTCTTTTTATAAGTTGAGGTAATATTTTTTCTCATTTTTTTGTTCAATAAAACTAAAATTTAAAATTTCCGAAATAATATAAACATATATTCGACATTGTGTGACCGGTCGGACCACGTTTATATCTAAACTTTATTATCACACTATAATGTTAAACCCGATTTTAGTTTATCTTTTAAAATATTTATTAATGCTGCTTGTTGATTATTTTTATACTATTTTCGCAGACAAACCAACATGCTTAGTATTTGTGGTTACTTTGATCATGTTCACTATGAACGGATTATGACATAATTTAGTTTTTGTTTGTTAAGCAAAGGTATTAATATATAGAGTTTATAGTTCGGCATAAGAAATATCGATGATTATTGACCCGACAAAGGTGCAGACTAAATCTAAGAAAGCACATGCGAAAAGAAAGCTGGAATAACACTACTGACTTATAAGTTCTTAAGTACAAAAATAGCCAGCGTGGTATACACTTTATACTCAATATTTATGTTGATAATGTGCTGCTTTAAACGATAGAAACATATGGTTTATTGTTGCACTAACAAAGATTAGTCGATATATGAAACAAATAAAAACAATGTGATCAGCAGCCTGGTGTCCAATGCTATTAGGACATCTCTAATCCAATTCTATTTTCATTCCAAAATAAAGAAAAATGGAATATAGAATAAAAAATACTCTAATTCTATTCTATTATTCATTTCATATTAAAATTTACTTCATTAATGGAATAATCTATTTTTTATTTATTCATATTCCGTTAGAGATTGAAGAAATAGAATAAAATTGGAGTTTTATCTTATTTAATTTCATTTTTTTTTAAAGAGAAGTTTACATTGGAGATATTCTCAGAAGTATTTATTTTTCTTAGAATTTATGAGCTGCTGTCTATTCTATTATCTTAGTCGTTGTGACATATATTCATATTATCTGATATTTTCGAAGGATTCAAAGAAAACAAAAACAAACTGGCTTAATCAGTGAAACATTTTAAACCCAAAAGAGCCGTAACTATGCCTATTACTAATGGTTATATACAACAAATGTACATGTGATGTGCTTACACTTTCTCACGTCTCAAGTCCATTAATCTTTTGTGTAATCTTCACTTTTTCTTCGTCTTATCTGAACAATGTATTTATTTTCATATATACCATATGTTAACCGGTGCAACCAATAACTTCTTATACATCTGAGCATTTGATGTTAATAAAGAACCTGAGCCAAAATGCCTTGCTGGATCTGGCACACAGATCAAGCATTTGATGCAGTTTATAATATTCGTTTGTGTATGTATGTGATAGGATAATTCAGAACATATGTAACTTTAACTTGTAGTAATGGGAGAACCAATGTGAGAGATGGATCACATAGTCCCACAGCATTTGTCCCCTCACCTCCGCTATTATATTACCATTAGTTACTCTCACATTTTCATAGTTTTTCAAATAGCAAGTTAAATCTAATATAGCTCATAGTTTCTTCTTATTTAATTTACTCTTACATGTTTACAATATTATCTAGTCAAACCTTCCAAGACAAAGTGACCCGTTTCCAAGGAACGATGAATAAATAAAGAGGACCAATGCTGTTCCGACACAAGTCTCTAGTGGTAATGTTGTAGTTTAAGACCAAGATAAGGGGCTTTTTCTTGTACAAGTTTGCATATAAAGAGCTCTCTCGTCTTCGTTCTCCTTCACTCTACTAAACATTCCTTCTCTCGCTCACTTTTCTCCATTATATATAAATACATAACATAAGACTTGGAGTAGAAAAAGCGAAAAACATGAAAGAGATGAGAGTGATAGTGCTTCTTCTACTTCATTCGATTTTCTACACTGCCTTTTGCTTCAAAGATGGTAAGTCCTTCGTTCTTTATGTTTTCTATGCAACTCTCTCCTTTTCGTGCTTAAAATTAATCAACAAACAGTCGTTGTCTACCAAAAATATTTGTACACATTTCAACATTTGATTAGCAGCATCTTGACAACATTTATGTCAAGATAATTCATTTGTAATTGCACCACAACTCATGAATACTAACTACTACTTGGGAACTAGTGAATTCGTGACATCAATACGGCTATCTATCTTACAAGAGTTAATTTATATTTTTGTATCATGAAATAGTTAACGGTAAACATAAACATAATAGCTTTTGAATTTGAAAACCACTTAGAGAGAATAATGGATAGAAGAATATACATGTTACAACGAATCAGATCTGTATATGCACATGGGATTTGTCAGTGAATTACAATAAATGCATCACTAAATACTCATACCTTCCCATCTGCAACATTTTATTATTTGTTTTAGTACTTTGAATATTTCATACTTTAACTTTTTTCTTCAATTATTATATTATCCAAAAAAACTATTCATTAAACATTCCCATGTTAAATAAAAGTGAAAAATGTTCTTAACTAGAATCATTGTCACCAACTATATACGTACCATGGCCACTTGATCCATGTTTCTAGCTTGCATTACTTGTTACATTAAATCATGAATCGTAACAAACCTCATATACTATAAATCATAACCTAAGTTGGTGTGCTGATCTATATATATAATATTGATGGGTAAAGATAGAGTAAATCTATTTTTTTTTTTTTGTTCTTTCATATTTCTTTTTCACTGTCTCTATAATTTTAACTTTTTTTAAATACAGGTTTACTACCAAACGGTGACTTCGAACTAGGTCCACACCACACGGACATGAAAGGGACACAAGTGATGAACAAAACAGCAATCCCAAACTGGGAAGTCTCAGGCTTCGTCGAGTACATTCCCTCAGGACACAAACAAGGCGACATGATCCTTGTCGTGCCTAAAGGCGCCTTCGCAGTGCGTCTAGGCAACGAAGCTTCCATCAAACAAAAGATCAACGTTAAGAAAGGGTCTTACTATTCCATAACGTTCAGCGCGGCTCGAACGTGCGCACAAGACGAGCGGCTAAACGTTTCTGTGGCTCCTCACCACGGAGTAATGCCGATTCAAACAGTTTATAGTAGCTCGGGTTGGGATTTGTATTCGTGGGCGTTTAAGGCACAGGGTGATTATGCAGAGATTGTGATACATAATCCAGGTGTTGAGGAAGATCCTGCTTGTGGACCACTCATTGATGGTGTTGCTATGAGAGCTCTTTTTCCTCCTCGTCCCACCAACAGTGAGTGTTTTTTTGTTACTTTTAACTATTTTCATTTTTTTTTCAAAAAAAAACTATTTTCATTAATAATCAATAATGATAAACGTTTTATTTTATGAAAGATTAACGTACAAGCAGACGTTTATTCCAGTCTGCCAATAATTAGAAAAAATCAATGTTCTAAAAATTGGTAAAGACAGTAACTCGATCTTGTTTTTTTTTAAATCAGATTTATACCAATATATACATTTAGATTTAATTTAAATTGTTCCAAATCTCTTTAAAACGATCTAAATTAATCTAACTATGTTAAATTAGGTATTAGTTCAATCCACAAATTTGTCTAGTTTCTTATGTTTTATATTATCTAATTTTGATAATTCATCATGATAATTTTATAATTTAACTCTAAAACTAAAATATGTCATATAAATTAATAGTATATATATATAATAAATCAATAGTTTGTTAATGTTTAAACCTCTTTAGAATCCAAATAATCCGTCTAGTTGTTAATCATCTATAATATATCTAGTTACCGTCTAGCGAATTTTAGAACATTAGAAAAAAATCATTTAGAAAAATTATCTGTTACAACCAATTTTTTGTAGAACATTGATTTTTACTTGGGTCTCATTTGCAATATAAATTCTTATGGGTCAATTCCTGGAATATTCTAAAACGTGCGGGGTTTGTTTGCAGAGAACATTCTAAAGAACGGAGGATTCGAAGAAGGCCCATGGGTTCTACCCAACACGTCATCAGGAGTTTTAATCCCACCTAACGCCGTCGACGACCACTCTCCGTTACCGGGATGGATGGTAGAATCTCTCAAAGCCGTTAAATACATCGACTCCGACCACTTCTCCGTCCCTCAAGGCCGTCGCGCCGTCGAACTCGTCGCCGGGAAAGAGAGCGCCGTCGCACAAGTCGTCCGCACAACGCCCGGGAAAATCTACGTTCTCTCGTTCGCCGTCGGAGACGCGAGCAACGCCTGCGCGGGGTCCATGATCGTGGAGGCTTTCGCCGGGAAAGAGACTCTCAAGGTACCGTACGAGTCGAAAGGGAAAGGTGGATCTAAGCGAGCGTCGATGAAGTTCGTCGCCGTAACGGAGAGGACTAGGATCATGTTCTACAGCACGTTTTACGCGATGAGGAACGACGATTTCTCGAGCCTGTGTGGGCCGGTGATCGACGACGTTAAACTTCTTAGTGCTCGGAGGAGGATGTGAGCTGGTGGCAACGGCGAGTTATTCACGGAAAAATGACGTCATAGTGGGCTTTCTTGCGGATCGTGAGAAATTGGGCTTTATCGGCCTCTTACTGTTCTTTTTGTTAAAGTTATGTTGGAAACCCTCTGGTTGAACGAGAGGGCAGGCGGACAGTGGCGTTCTTATGCTGTTGTTTGGTTGGAAATATATAAAATTTTAAGCTGGTTAATTATTTTATAATTTATATTAATCTAATGCATAATGGTAAATCTACTACACAATATAATCCATGTTTTATATAAAATAATTTGTTTCAGAATAATACACATTTCACATTTTAAAAGTTATGGGAAAACAGTACATTACAAAAAAATATATATTGATAATTTAGTATTCATAAATTTTTTAATGTGTGAAAATACTAAAATATGTATCTTATCGGAAGTATTACTATTTTTTAAATCTGGATAATCAAGGATAAATTTTGAAATGATTCAAAGGTACACACTAAAAAAGCTTGTAGTATTTATAGTGTTTTTGCTATTCTATAATCAAAGACAAAAGCAAAACGCTGTTCTATCACCAATAGTCTCTGCAAGAGCAAACACCATCTTTCATAATGTGAAACCTCTTGACATCTCGCGAGATCAACCGTCTCCCAACAATCTGCGACATTAGTTTCAATGCGTTGTGGCAATCAATACAAACACGTAGATTCTTCATTACCCGTATTTCAGAACGCGGAGGAGTATTGAGAAACGCCGAGACGAAAGCGAATCTCTCGTTGTGGTTAAAAAGGTTTTCATCTCTGCTCTCTTGGTCCACGTCGTGCAATGCAAGTCTAGACTCAGGCACGTAACCAAGTTCCACCATGTGCTCCTTTAAACTCTTCAATGCCATGTAGTATTCTCTGTTTTCTGGAAGAGATATTTCTCCAGCCCTGTAATTATCCCTCTTCGTCATTCTATGTAGCTTCTCTTTTGCTGCTATGTCTGATGATTTGACAGGGACGAGACCCGCCTTTGATTCTTTGGTTAGTCTACTTGCATCAAGCTGCTCAACTATGTCTTGACACCGGTCACCGAGCTCTAAATCTCCATGAACCCATGAAAGATTCATCAATGTTTCCCACAGGTCAACAGCATTTGGTTCCATCAACTCAACAAATCTCAAGGCTTCATCTAAGTAACCAGGCTCAGCCAACATTTTGACAATGCTTACGTGATGTTCCATAGAAGGGAAGATCCCGTAGTCTCTGTGCATCGACTGAAAGTGAAGTAGTCCTTCGTTGATGTCACCAAGAACACCACATGCAAAGAAGACCTCTTTGAATATCTCTCCATCAGGTCTGTTTCCTTTTTCTTTAAAACGTGAGAACATATCAATGGCGTCCTCTTCATGTCCATTCTCTGCTAAACACCTTATGATACCGCACCAAGTCTGCGAGTTTTTCTCAGGCATACTCTCGAAAACGGCTAACGCATCTTCCACAGATTCACAGCCAGAGTACATTTCTATTACCGAGTTGTAAGCGCTGATATCCGAACGAGAAACCGAAGAAGTGATAAACTCATGAACAACTTTGGCTTCTTGTAAAGCTTGTGCATCCCCACATAGCTGTGCCAGCCACAAAAGTCTGGGTAAATCTACCATATAACCCTGGTTTCTCCATGATTTGATAATATTAACTGCTTCTTTCACATTACCTTCTCTGCAAAGCGCATCCAATGAGTCATAACCACTATTATCTTGATGTACCTGTCTCTGTCCACCATTGGGAGAATCCCAACTCTGGTTCGGTGAGTGAACAAAACCTGCATTCTCCTGTGGAGTTTCATTACCATATGACGAACAAGCATCACTACTACTTTGCCAGTTTCGTTGTCTCTGGTCATAAAGTTCACTGCTTTGATAAAACCCATTCGTATTCTGACCAGAAACAGGTGGATAATCTGGGTTTAAGCTCTGCCCATATGAATTCTGCTGAAACCCACCAAGGTACTGATCTCTATTAATGATGTCAGTGTGATTTGAAGAAGTACCCGTCTGATTAAGGTTTAGGAAACTCAATCTCTCCGCAGCTGTGCTCAGATTTCTCAACAGAGGACCGACAGCTCTCAGTGAATCACATGAAAAAGGATAACGTAGCTTACAGGTGGAGCTGAGGAGCGAACCTCTGGCCGTGTATATCATTGTCGAGACAAAACTCATTTACCGGAAATGGAATCCGACCAGGGCTGAGCAGACAAAAAGACCACCTTTGTATAATCTGTCAAAGAAACAGAATTTAGAAACAGAGAGTTTTCACAAATAAAGCTACTTTTTAAAGTTCCTGAGGTTAATTTTTTTTGTGAAACTCGGGGAGGACGGCCTCGTTTAGTTGATGAAATGAAATTACAGTAGAGGAAAAGTAATTTACGACCTAAAAGATGATTATTTACCAATTATTCGCATACCATATTGTGATCGGAAGAGATTTAGGAACTAGGTTAAGGCAAGGTTTATAGGGTTTCTAGCAGCCACACTTTATGATGGGTTTAACCTTCTCAAAATACTTAACAAAATCAAAACAACGTTCGTAAATATTGAATTAGCTTTTACATCCCAAGATAACAAAATAATATTAATCAAGTTCATTACAAACATAACACATACAGTATCTATAATCCAGTGAAGGGCAATGTGTTTAGATATAAAAAATGAACTTGCAAGAACATGACTTGTTTACTTTTACTACCTCATGTTGATGCTAATATGTCCTCTTGGAAGCAAGTAATCCATACAAAAAAAAAAGAACAAACATGGCATAACAGTAACATCATCACATGAAAGGAAGCAACTAGAGGTTAAACAGCTTTGCTAGAGAGATCTGGAGAGTGAGTTTGAAGAAATTCCACAACGCATATGCGACTAAGCAAGAATGCGAGCACCAGTAACATGAAGGCAAAGTCATGAGAACATATCAGAAACAGGAATCAACACATTGCCTAGATTAGCATTAACCCTATTCAATGCCATTTCACTCTTACCTCTCACCAAGCCACAACGATTATTTCCAGAAAGAACCGCAAAATATAACTAATGAACCAGAAAGGGCTAAAGAGAAATTACTCAGATCTTGACATGTTATTAGCAAATTTAATCCAACAGACTGTAAATATACAAGGAAACCTGCTCAAAGCACCACAGCTTTCTTGCCCTGTGGACAAAGCCAACTCCAGGACACCTGAAATAAGCGGCAATATCAAGATAGAGACAAAATGAAAAAAGCATAAAAGCCAGTTACGTTTTGAAGAACAGGAATGGTATTGCACCATTCATATGGCCTGCCGTAAAACCCAGCATCAGAGTTAGACCTCTAAAAGCAATAGGTCTGCATGCCCCAGACAAGGCGACAATGTTCCTGAAAAACGCAGGGGGAGATCAATAATGTCCAGAGGATTACTAGGAAAAATAGATCAGACATTCAGGTTCACATGCCATATTTGCACTGAATGAAAATCCACATAATACTGTTACTGACCAGGAAATTACGAATGACCCATCTTGCCACAAGTAACAAGATGGAGTCAAGTATATCAACACAAAGTGTGCCACAGAACATAAAACAATACTGTACAACATTGAAAGAAAGCACCATATTAACAGCCCTTCAAAATATGATATCTCAGAGTTATGTATACATTGAATTTTGCTTTAACTTCCTTCAGGAATTACAATAACGGAAACTAAGAGAAATCTGACAAAATAGAAAAAAGAACACCATAATGAACCTCGGAAATTTTCATTCTAATCAGAGTTTCAAGTACATACTTATATTCTGCTGTGACTATACACTCAATATCATATCCACTGGAAAAGAAACAATATATGACAGTTGAATGATTCCACGTTGCAGGGATTTATGGCCAGGACAAAAAGAAAAGAATTAATTCTGATTGATACTAGCAAAATTGACTGCGAGTACCAGCAGATATCAAATTTTTTACCTCCATCAAATGTTCATCATCTGATATATTAAGAGAAAGACGGAGATCAGTTAATGATGTTTCTTGTTCCCAACTTAAGGGACCAGAAGCGAATAAGTCCCCCAATGTACTGCGGTAAGTATATAGTTCAGATCTACAGGACCTTCTTACTCCATCACCTGCTAACGAATGTTTCCCCCTTGCTTCCTCCCTAAGGCCACCAAAAGATTCCGCCTCGCTGCTACATGAGTCTGCCTGTGGACCAGAGCCATCTAGCATACAAGGTGGCATGTTACTCTCATCATCACTAGCAGCGCTACAACTACCAACTGAGCATGCATCGCTATCATAACAATCATCAGCGACTAAGCTTCCTGCACGAACACTCTCACTAGAACCTTTTGATCTTACCCTGACCAATTGACAGTACCCAGTTTTCCGACTCTTAGAGGACACTTCCAGTGATCGTATCTTCTTAGGGTTTCCAGTGCATGATTCAGCACAATCTGGCCAGTTATTAGGTGACGGTCTCTTTAACCTTTTAGCAGAGACGACACTAGGCTCCTGTAGACGTATGCTGTTCACTTGGGGCTGCAGCTTCCTTTGTACGTCTGATCCAGTTATTGCGGATGACTTCACAGAACCTGATATCTGAAAAAAAAAAGTTTACAACACAGTTAGTTAAAGTTAATGATCATTACCAAACTAATGAAAGATTATTTCAAAAACAATCAATATCATTAAGAGGCTATGCAAATAGCCACCTCCAACCACATAGGCGTTGAGTCAGAGGACCTATCAGGAGATCTTAATGAAGACAAGACAAAAAAAGACATCAACAAGTGTACATTAGCTTTAAAAAGTACGAACATAAAAAAAAAAAGAAAAAAAAAAAATTACCTTTCCAATCGCAACCCATTTCTCATCTTGCCAAGACTGTCGAACCCTAAGGTTAGCTTTGTGAAACGTAAATTCCTCAGGAGTCCCAAGCAACCGAACCACATAGTACTTCCCACACAACTCTTGTCGAACAGTGGCAGCTTTCCATGAGAAACTATCAAGAACTTCCACCAATTCACCAGCCTCCCATCGCTCAACATCAACTTGTGGAGGACAGGGCCTAATCACCTTCCTTGGAACTCTCTCCAAGACAGCCTCCTCGTGGAAAGAGAAGTATCTAACGTTGTAGGTATGTCCATTACCAGAGATGATCTCAGCACATCGCCACGCACCGTATGGTGCCTCTTTGTTGCTAAACACCTCAACTCTACTTCCTTTTTTGAATCTCATTATAATCTGCAAAAAGAAAAAAAAAATCTTAACAGTTATGATCAGCTCAGTAACAAAGATTGTAAATAAAATCAAATTAATTAACACAGATAATAAGAATCCAAATCAAATTAAAACGAGAGAAAATAACAAAATCAAAGCAACAAGATCAATCCAAAATCAGATCAATACAACTTTGAAACGATAACAAGGAGCCGTGAAATCAATAAACTAGTAAAGAATCTCGATCCATTTTTTTTCTTTTTTTTTTAGGAGAAATCAACACTAACAATGAAACGAAATCGAAGAAGAGATCATCATCATCATCATCACCTTGTGGAATGTATTGAAGGAAGACTTGATCGCCGGAAAATTTTCGATTTTCTGAGAGATTGTGATTGGAAGAGAAATTTGGGGATTAGGGTTTCGGGTAATTGGGAAATATGGAAAGCTAATTGGGCGTTACGTAATTTATATTTTCTTTTCTAGTTTTTATTTTTTTAATTTCGTGACGTGGGATTTAAGTTAAAAAATCTTTAAACCAGAAATAGGAGATAACAACCCATACTATTACATTAATGACGGTTTTTGATTAGTAAAAATTAAATACGTTTGACTCGCCTTGTGCACACGCGCGTTTAATTGACAGATCATGAACTTATTTCATACGTCCATGCTTAATAGGGTGCTTAATTTTACAATGTTTGATTTGCTAAAATTAACTATACAGCTTGTTCTCGCTTTGCACAATTTGATATGTATCGTACACTCAAGTCTTATCTCCTTTTGCTTACGCAATATATTTGTTCACCTTCATTATAAAACAAATCTCATAAACAAGTAACCTAGTGAAATTTTTGGAAAAAAAATTAGTTGATCATATATATGTAGATATTGAACCATCACACATAATTCACAATTAGTCAAATCAAGATTTACTTACATGACAAAACGTATATGCTGACATTAGTAAAGCATTTATATTCTATTTTAAAGTTATGTGACTACTTTCATATGATCTTACATTGAAAAAACTAAGACCAGATCATATTTGTTACAACGAGTTATTTGCGACAAGTCAGAGGGTAAATCTTTCCACAAAAAAAATAAAAAATAATCTCTGATATGTGCTACATTTGACCATTGACTATGTTATATGGGGTATTCACAGGCCGAGTATGCTATAGTCACTAACGTCGGCAAGTCTACCTGCTACATGTCTACCTTTATAGAATCACATCTTCATGAATATCATGACATTATATGTAGAACAAATAAATCTTAAAACTGAATCTGATTCTGATCCACACTTGCTTATCAGCTATTTTACCTCTTCTCAACATTGAACCACCCTAAAGAAATCACACAGCTAATACTCTGACATAAACATGTCAACAACTTATTTTTCTGGATAGTAACTTGGAGATGAGGTATGGAGTTAATAGTAGTAAGTACTATTATTATAATTGAACGTTAAGCTGTATGTGGTTTAGTTTGAAGTTTCAACCACCATCCGCGTCCTGCTACATAAAAATATGATTAGTATTGAACACTGGTAGAAAGTTATTTTGGCATATAGCAATAAATATATCTAACAAAAGTCTTATATTATTATAACTGACCATAAATCATAATGTTAAATTCTTTAATCCGTGATCATATGAATTAAAAAAACATCCATGAGAAGAAAATAGTAGACGTATTATTAAAAGGGAAAATGTAAAGAGGGTTCTCAAGTGGGGGGTAAGGTTAACGTGTTTAGGAATATCCGAAGTATGAGGTTATCGACGACGTAAACATTCTCCTCTTCCACCCTCTTTTTCAAGTTGCTTAAGAATAATTTCAAAGCTACTTAAGAAAAATATTGCTTTTATTCACATATGAACTAAACAACAATAAATGTAAAGAGACGTGAATAAGAGTCCAACACACACCAAACTTATACCTTAAAGCCATCATATTCTGTTATGGCTTCGTTAGCTTAACAAACAATCGTACCGGTCAATGAGATCAAAATCTGAAGACCAAGTTAAACCGATCCGGTTTAGCATGGTGAAAGAAAAAAAAACAAGTATACTCCACTCCACTCCACTCAGTGTCTTCCTACAACTAACGTTTCTAAACTTGCAAACTTCTCCTCCAAACTCATCCCCAATCCAAGAGTTTCCACCATTCTATAAATCTCATCAGATTTCGAATGAGACTTATCACCTGAAGAGAAGCCTAGCGTCGTTAAAGAACCATCACTGTCAATAAAATCAACCCAACTGGTTCCTGTTTCTTTCTTCACATCTTTCTTCCTCATCTTTCTCCTAATCTCCGCAGCTTTTTCCCACTGTCCTGTCTCTGCGTAGATGTTATACATCTGAACATAAGAACCAGACAACTCCGGTTCCATCTCCATAACAAGCTCAGCTACCTTTTCCCCCATTTTCGAGTTCCCGTGCAGCCTACAGGACCCAAGCATGCTCTGCAACATCGACACTCCTGGTCCTCCAGGAACCTCACTCATAAGCTCCTCTGCTTCTTTTAACCTCCCAGCTCGACCAAGCATGTCGACCATACACGAGTAGTGCTCATGAGACGGCTCAAGGTTGTAGTCTTTGGTCATCGAGTTGAAAATCTCATAGCCTTTGTCTACCATACCTTTTCTATTACAAGCTGTTAACACAGACAGGAATGTGATCAGGTCTGGTGCTATGTTCTGGTTAACCATCTCTTGGAACGAGTTCATAACTGATTCAAAGTCCCCGTGGCTTGAGTAAGCTGATATTATCGATGTCCAAACAAACTGGTTCTTTTCAGACATCTCGTCAAAGACTTTCTCAGATTCATTGATGCTCCCACGCTTGGCGTACATATCAAGAAGCGCGCTTGACACAACAGGACAACTATTTAAACCTAACTTCAGTATATGAGCGTGGCAACGTTGACCATGCCTTAGAGATATATTCTCCGCAGAAGCTATTGCGTTTAGCACACTTCCGAAAGTGTATTCATTTGGTGTTACTTCTGCCGCTGCTGATAAGAACATCTTAAGAGCTTCGAGTGAGAATCCATTTTGAGCATATCCAGAGATCATAGCATTCCATGAAATAATCTCCCTAACATGTATCTCATCGAAAGCCTTCTTGGCATCTTCAAGAGCTTCAAACTTGGCATACATTGTGATTAAACTGTTGCCAAGTTTCGAAGCAAAACCAGTCTTGATGCATATACCGTGAATCTTAACCCCTTCTTTGATTTGCTCATTGCACTTAACAGCGTCGATTAAACCAACAAACGTGACCTCGTTAGGGAACACTCCATCTAACCTCATCTTATGAAAGATGGAAACAGCATCATCCTTATTCGCGGAAATCATCGTTGTCCAAGAGATAACATTCCTCTCACTCATCTGGTAAAACACTGATTCCACATCTTCTCCAACCCCACACTTCCAGTAACTTGACATCAACATATTACCAACAGAAACAAGTGTTTCATAACCTCTTTTTAAGCACAAACCATGGATTTGCCTAGCCAGGTTCAGGTCAGTTTCGTGACAACAAGTCGTGATCACGCTAGTAAAAGACACGTGATCAAGCTCCACACCTTCTCTCATCATCTCCTTAAACACAAGCACTGCCTCAAACCCGAGATTCCCTCCTTGAGAAAGTCCTGACAATAAAGAGTTCCATGTAATCATATCCTTAACAACCTTCTCATCAAAAACTCTCCTAGCATCTCTGAAACTTCCACCTCGCGAGTACATTGTTATAAACGAGTTCCCAACGACAACATCACTCTCAAACCCTGTTTTCACCACAATAGAATGCAACTGCAAGCCTAAACTAAACCCTTCAGAGCCCACACAGAAGGAAAGAGCCGTGGAATAAGTAAACGCGTCGAAAACCACTCCAGAAGATCTCATCCTAACAACAAAGTCCAAAGCAACTTGATTATCATCAAAACCAGAGAGTATAGTGTTCCAAGAAACAACATCAGGATCAACCAAACTCTCAAATATGCACAAAGCATTATCAAACCGACCAGCATTACGGTACATACTCATTACAGCGTTCGAAACACATACAAAGGAAGTGAAACCAGAGGCTATCGAAAAACCATGGACTTGGCAACCACGTTTCGTGTCTCCACGACATGCTTTAAGAGCTAGACAAAAAGTGACCTCGTTTATTATATTACGACCAGAGAAACCCAGCTGGAGATTCTTAGTGAAGATCGCAAGTGCTTGTGAAGGAGAGCTTCTACGTAAGGATTCACTGATCGAATGGTTAATGTAAGTTGTCGAGTTTCTTTGGGAACTTCCATCGAACAGCTTGTGTGCACTAATCAAAGGATAGCGAAATCTTTGAAAAGGTAAATACTTTGAGGGGTTACAGTGTAGATAACTCAAAAGGGTCATGAGAAGCAAGCTATCCCGATTCAAATTTTACATACGAGCGAACAAATCGGAGAAGAAAGTGAGGTTTTTTTTTTTGCTGCTAAAGTAGGACGGAGCAAAATAGAGTTTTGAGGGTAAAGTTGTAAATAAGGAGCGAATTAGAGGGCAATTCGGACAAGCTGGTGTTTGTTCTTTTTAAGGTGTCCGCTAGGTTTTTTCTCCACCAGCTCAGTCATTGTATCTTTGTGGCTCTCAGGTAAAACCCTAGCGATTCTTTTTGTTCTTTGTATCTCGCTGTCTCTTGCTGGAATCTGATGTTGATAACTCCCATTCTCTGATGATTCCGTCATGATTTACACAATTCTTCACTGATTCGATCGGTTTAGTGTATTTGGTGGCAAACACGTAGTCCGTATTAGTTTTGAGTAGTCTGAGCTGTGATTTTCGATAGAAATTGTAATTTTGGATGGTTGACAATTTATACTCCCTGCTCGCTGTTTTATTTTATTTTATTTTATCATGTGCATTGTTCAGCTCATGGGAATCTCATATCTGCAAAGTTGATGTTGAAGTTTTCTAATTATCGGGTCACTTGTAAGCTGTAACTAACTGTAGAGTTGGTTTGCTGGTTTGAGGCCGTTGTTAAGTATCTTGTAGTGTGGGTTTTTAGCTTTTTCAATGTTGTTATCATCTGTAGCTTCGACGAAAGTGAAAACTATACGCCAATTTATCTTTCTTCTTCGAGTTTGTCGTGGTGATATTCAAGTCTCTTTTGTGTTCTCTGTTTTTTTACAGGTCTTAACTTTGGATATAGTTTGAAGCTATACCAAGGACATGGCGAAAAAGAAGAATCCGCAGGTTTATATGGATGTATGCATTGATGGAGATCCAGCTGAGACAATGGTTTTTGAGGTACCATGTTGTTTGGCTCTCTTGCTTGTATTTTTCTTAGACTGGTTATATTTCTCATCAGGAAGAATGTTGTATTTTGGAAAGATTATTCAAGGGAAAGAGGTACTAAAGAAAATTGAAAGTGTGGGAGACGAGGAAGGTAAACCTACCGTCACGGTGAAAATAATCCGTTGTGGAGAATATTCGGGAGGTACAATACAGATATTCTACTATTGGTTACTGCTACATATGTGGTGAGTTTGCAGTCATAACCTATCCTCATGCTTTGCAATGCAGACAAGAAGAAGAATACTGTTGATGAACGAAAAAGGAGTAGGGACAAAAAATCTCCAAGAGAGAGAAGAAAGAAGAGGCGAAGACACTCAGCATCTGGGTCTGAAAGCTCTTCAGACTCTGAGACGGATTCCTCAGAGTCTGATAGTGAGTCGGATTCAGATTCGTATTCTGAGCTTAGTTCCTCGAGCCATGAAAGACGGAAGAAGAGGAAAAGAAGTTCAAAGAAAGATAAGCACAGGCGGTCTAAACGAAAGCGCCACGGGAAAAAGCGGAGGATACGTGATAAGAGAACGAAACGCAAATCAAGAAGGTTTGCAACTCTTGTACACTTATTTGGAGAATTTTCCGTGTGAATGCTGGTTACTTCTTAGGAGAATTTTATTGATTTAACTGGTCTGCACACACAGATACCGGTTTTAACTTTTGGTGTATAGTGAGAGTCTTGTTAGTTCATGTTTCTGGAAATCCGATTTTATGGATCTAAGCATGATTAATTTTATTCAGCTCGTACGTAATAATGTCTAGCAAACAGTCATTTGCTTCAGTAGGTCTTTTCTGTTTTCGAGGAGCAGGAGCAAGTAGTATTAAGTATATTAACTGATTGAGTATCATAGTTATTCACTCTGTTCTACAACCTTTCAGGTCCCCAGACAATCTTATAGCGGAAGAAGGCAACAGTGAAAGTGATGCCAATGTTGATATGGGGGGAAAAACGAGGAAACCCAGTCGCTCGAATAGAGCAGGTAATCTCTAAAACTCAGAGTTGATTTTTAGCTTCTACTTCCGCCTCCCAGCTTCCTGCAAACATCAATGCTTTGTGTGCCATGTGATCAATATGCATTTCGGTTAAGCATCATTTTGAACTTTTTTTTTTACTAACTTCTATAAGCAGTTAAATAATGTTTCCTTGTACACTGTTTTTGTTGACTTCAACATTCAAACAGGTAGTTCTCCACTAGAGTTTGGAAAAGAAGCTGAGTCACTTCGCCAGGACAAAATTGAGGGGCCGGATTTGCTTGACAAGGATGATGATGCATCAGACCACATTTCTGAGAGGCAACATGATATTGTTGATGATCATCCTAGCAAATCTAGGTGGAGTTTCCAATCTCTAGAACACCTCAGCTAAAGGGTTATCTTTCTCTTCTCCCATATGAAATCTTATTAAACATAATTGATGTGCAGGAGCTGGAGCTTGAGTCCTAAGAGAAAAACAAGTAAGAGCACAAGTATAAGTCCCAGGAGGAGTCAGAGTAAGAGTCCGAGCTTAAGTCCTAGACGGAATGTGGGCGGAAGTCCTGCTAAAGGTAGCCGCCAAGTGAAGAACTTGACAAACAGAAGAAGCAAAAGCTCAGAGAGTGAGGAGATAGGCAGACTTATTAAGAGGAGCCTAAGCAAAAGTGTTAGTAGAAGTCCAGTGCGGATGAAAGGGGGAAGAGATATAAGTAGAAGTCCTTCGAGGAGTATAAGCAGAAGTCCATTGAGGAGCCCTGTAAGGGAGATTAGCAGAAGTCCAGTGAGAAGTAGGAAGGCCAGAAGCCCTAGCAGGAGCCCTGTAAGATCAGCATCTCGAGGAAGCCTTGGGAGGGGCCCACTTAGAAGAGCAAGAAGATCACCTAGCAGAACTCCAGTTCGGTCATCTAGAAGAAGCCTGAGCCGGAGTCCCTCTATATCACCTAGGAGATCAGTGAGCAGGAGTCCAGTCCGATCATCCAGGAAGAGTGTGAGCAGGAGTCCTATTCGATCATCCAGGAGAAGTATCAGCAGGAGTCCTGTTAGAGGAGGAAGAAGAAGAATCAGTAGAAGTCCAATTCTAGCGAGGAGAAGAAGTCCCAGGCGTAGATCATCTCCTTTTGACCGTAGAAGAAGTTTGTCAAGAAGCGGTTCTCCTGATGGACGCATAAGGAGAGGGAGAGGATTTAGCCAGAGATACTCTTACGCTCGTAGATTCAGAGCCTCTCCAACTCCTGATCGTTCTCCTTATCGCCTTAGTGATAGGAGTGAGCGTGACAGGTGAATAGCTCGAACTCTCTTTTCTGTTACACACTCTTCCACTCAATCTACTGATCCTTTTTAATAACGTATTCATCTGTAGATTTCGAAGTCACAGAAGGTACTCTCCAAGACGGTTCAGAAGTCCATTAAGAGCAAGAACACCTCCAAGGTACTTATTTAACAACCTATTTAGCACATTCCTTTCTACTTATAAGTGAATTTGGTGCTCAAAATAAAATTTTGTTGATTTAACAACTCGAAAGTATTTACAGGTTAAGAAGAAGAAGCCGCTCTGTATCGCGTAGTCCACGTCATCGCCGGCGTTACAGCCGCAGCCCTATCCGTAGCCGTTCACCATATAGGAAGAGAAGGTCACCATCTCCTGCTAGCCGCAGTCCCATCCGTTCACCATATAGAAAGAGAAGGTCAGCATCCCCTGCTAGCCGCAGCCCAAGTCCGTCAGGGTCAAGGTCAAGATCAAGATCATATTCAAAGTCTCCCATTGTGACAGGGAAAGCAAGATCAGTGTCAAGATCACCATCTAAATCAAGTTCATCATCCTCGGGTAATAGCAGCTCAGGTGGGCAGAAGCCATTAGTAGCCTATGATTAGCGAGCGACCCACGTTATCCTTTTGTTATGTTACTCAGACGAGGAGGGTGAAGAGACTAAGCAGTTACTCACTGTAAAACGTTTGCATTGTCTTTGTCTTGTCGCCGTGTCCTTCTACTTCACTCTCCAGCCTTTGTTATAAGTTTACGTTGATGTTTGCCGGCATTTTTATTTATTTTTGGTTAACAAACCTTTAATTAATTACAATAGAAGTATGTTTGTGTCCACCGACAGATGATGGCGAATAAGAGAAAACAGGCTGTTACCAGTGAGCAAACGTGGCTTCTATTTATTTATTTAATTTAATAAAATCAATAATGATAATTTGTTTTGTCTTGTCTCTTTCTTACAATACTAGCTGGCGCGTAGCTAACGGCTCATTTTATAGAAAAATATAGAGATAATAACCAAAGCCGATACATGAGCCGAGCCAAATAGTAGGAGATGAAGAGGCTACCGTCACCACTTCCGGTGAAATAATATCCACTTGTCATTTTAATTAAAAAAGAAAAAAAGAAACACACACAGACACAACGATAAAACAGGCAAAGCACAGATTGTTGTTAAAAACTCTCAAATCAGACAAAGAGATATAGATAGAAAGAGAGAGTGTCAGTGTGAACATCTTCCTTTCAGTTCGAGAGGGTTTTCGAGATGCCGTATTGAATCAGTTCTTAGATTGAAGTTGTAATCTTTCTCTCTATCTGTTTGTCGGTGGCTCGTTGACTTCACTCATCAACGATGGAGGCAAGTTCCGGCTTGGTTGCTGGATCTTACCGGAGAAACGAGCTTGTTCGGATCCGTCACGAATCTGACGGCGGGGTACGTTTCTCTCTTTGCTTTATCCCTTTAGATCTCATCTAAATTTTTGTTTTTTTCTCTTCTAAATCGCATCCAATGTTGGATCATGGAAACTCAGATTCAGATCTTTCACTTAAATTCCGCTTCTGTTAGTGTAGTTGGTTCAGTCTATCTCAAGTTTCTAAAAATAGAAACTTTACTGCTCCAAGATTTCAGTTACTGTCATAAGTGATCATAGCCAGATCTATTTTAAACGCATCTTTTTGTTTTTTCTTACTACGGAAACTGTCGGTGGAGTTTTGATTCTGGATCTAAGGATCTAACTGTTCAGGTTCTTTTTATAAATCCTGGTCTCAAAGCTCAGTACTTTACTTACTGAAATTTTGATCAGTTAGATCTCGTTTTGGGCCACATCTATCATTGATTTGTAGATGCTTCTTGTTAATTGTTTGTATATTTATATATAAGTATATTCATACTGATCTGTTACATTTAGGTTCTTTTACTTTATATATACTAACAATGTTGCAACGATTGATGAAACTGCAGTCTAAACCTTTGAAGAATATGGATCGTGAGATATGTAAGATCTGTGGTGACCACGCTGGTCTCACTGAAACTGGTGATCTCTTTGTTGCTTGCAATGAATGTGCCTTCCCTGTGTGTCGTCCTTGCTATGAGTACGAGAGGAAAGATGGAACTCAGTGTTGCCCTAACTGCAAGACTAGATACAGACGGCTCAGGGGTTAGTTGTCTCTTTCTTATGTTTTGTTTTGGTATTTTGTCTTTTGTTGCTGTATGTGCTTAATAACTTCTTTTTATTTTGGGATGTTGCAGGGAGTCCTCGTGTTGAAGGAGATGAGGATGAGGATGATATTGATGATATCGAGAATGAGTTCAGTTACGCCCAGGGAGCTAACAAGCCGAGACGCCGTGAAGAGTTTTCTTCCTCCTCTAGACATGAATCTCAACCAATTCCTCTTCTCACCCATGGTCATGCGGTAAGGACCTTTTTGTATTGCTCAAAAATTCTATAGAATAGAGTTTTTTTTATTTACTTTTCACATTAATGCTACATTGTGAATAATATAAACAGCAACAAATAGTTTATGTAGTTAGTTGTGTCTGTTTTCAGTAGATGCTTGACCTTTTTCCTATGCAAACAGGTTTCTGGGGAAATTCGCACGCCTGATACACAATCTGTGCGAACTACATCAGGTCCTTTGGGTCCTGGTGACAGGAATGCCATTTCATCTCCATATATTGACCCACGCCAACCTGGTACGCACATTCTTTTGCTTTTGTTACATGTGATTCATATTCGTTTTATAGCTTTGTTTTTTCTTCTATAACTGATAGCTTGTGCTAAAAATTTGCAGTCCCTGTAAGGATCGTGGACCCGTCAAAAGACTTGAACTCTTACGGGCTTGGAAATGTTGACTGGAAAGAAAGAGTTGAAGGCTGGAAGCTGAAACAGGAAAAGAATATGTTACAGATGACTGGTAAATATCATGAAGGGAAAGGAGGAGAAATTGAAGGGACTGGTTCCAACGGCGAAGAACTCCAAATGTAAGTTGGAGTCACTAGCTTCAGTATCTTTCTTGCTTTATATGATTTAGTTTCGTTGCATTTTTGCAATGTTCATGTGGAGTTGCAACTTTCCTACTCATTCAAATTTGAGTGTTTTTTTTCTGTTTCCTTCCACTCAATCATGGATCTCGTGCTTACAGGGCTGATGATTCGCGACTTCCTATGAGCCGTATTGTGCCTATCCCGCCTTCTCATCTGACACCTTATCGGGTTGTGATTATCCTCCGGCTTATCATCTTGGGATTCTTCTTGCAATATCGTACAACTCACCCTGTGAAAGATGCATATCCATTGTGGTTGACCTCAGTTATTTGTGAGATCTGGTTTGCATTTTCTTGGCTTCTTGATCAGTTTCCCAAATGGTACCCCATTAACAGAGAGACTTATCTGGACCGTCTCGCTTTAAGGTTGGTCTCTAAGTCTAATAGTCTATGCATCCTACTCTTATCTTATTTTTTGTATGCTAATTTGATACCTTCTTCCACAGTTTTTTTTCGTAGTCATTTTAGACAATGATGCGTATCAAAATCTTTTAAAATGGTTGTGAGGATTAACATTAAGTTTAAAATTTTAGTATAAAGATACCCTTATGTGATTTACTTCAAATGTGAACTTTCTGACTAGATTATGCTTGTACCATGCCTGATGAAGTGCCTTTTGAAAATAGAGCTTTGTTATTTTACTGACTGTATTTGATGGTTTGATTATGGTTTCCTTTTGCAGATTTGATCGAGATGGTGAACCATCACAGCTTACTCCTGTTGATGTGTTTGTTAGTACGGTGGACCCATTGAAAGAGCCTCCTCTTGTAACGGCAAACACAGTTCTCTCAATTCTTGCTGTGGACTACCCGGTAGATAAAGTGGCGTGTTATGTTTCAGATGATGGTGCAGCGATGCTTACGTTTGAATCTCTTTCTGAAACTGCTGAGTTCGCAAAGAAATGGGTGCCTTTTTGCAAGAAATTCAGCATTGAACCTAGGGCTCCTGAATTCTATTTTCAGCAGAAGATAGATTACCTGAAGGACAAGATCCAGCCTTCTTTTGTTAAAGAGCGACGAGCTATGAAGGTCACTTGAATAATCTATCTGCTTCTCACCCATTATAGAGACTAGAGTTTGACTAAAAATATTTTTTGGGGCTTGTAATGACAGAGAGAGTATGAGGAGTTTAAGGTGAGGATCAATGCACTTGTTGCTAAAGCACAGAAAATTCCTGAAGAAGGCTGGACCATGCAGGATGGTACTCCCTGGCCTGGTAACAACACTAGAGATCATCCTGGAATGATACAGGTACAGTGAGGCAATCCCTCTGAGAGTAATGAAAAGTAACAATTCAGGAAATTTATTTATGCAGCATTGTTTTTTTTTTCAATTTCAGGTGTTCTTAGGCCATAGTGGAGGTCTTGATACCGATGGAAATGAGCTGCCTAGACTCATCTATGTTTCTCGTGAAAAGCGTCCTGGATTCCAACATCACAAAAAGGCTGGAGCCATGAATGCCTTGGTATGTTAGCTTTCAAAATCCTATTGTGTCTTCTATGAAAATTTGTTCTCTTCTGATTTAGCTTCTCTTTACTTTCACAGATCCGTGTTTCTGCTGTTCTTACCAATGGAGCATATCTCTTGAACGTGGATTGTGATCATTACTTCAACAACAGCAAGGCTATTAAAGAAGCCATGTGTTTCTTGATGGACCCTGCTTATGGAAAGAAGTGCTGCTATGTTCAGTTCCCACAGCGTTTTGATGGTATTGATTTGCACGATCGATATGCCAACAGGAATATTGTCTTCTTCGATGTAAGCTTCACTCCTCCATTCCTACAGTCTTTTATTATCGTTTGTTCATATTTTTGTTGGATATACTCGTTTCTGGCAGTGGCCTGACTTAGATGTTTGTTACCTTCTGCAGATTAACTTGAAGGGGTTAGATGGTATCCAAGGTCCAGTATATGTGGGTACTGGATGTTGTTTCAATAGGCAAGCTCTATATGGATATGATCCTGTTTTGACGGAGGAAGATTTACAACCAAACATTATTGTCAAGAGCTGCTGCGGCTCCAGAAAGAAAGGAAAGAACAGCAAGAAGTATAATAGCTATGATCAAAAAAGGAGAGGCATCAGCAGAAGTGATTCCAATGCTCCACTTTTCAATATGGATGACATCGATGAGGGTTTCGAAGGTTTGATTGAGCTTTATAGTGAAACAATTTTACGTGTTCATGTGATGATATAAACTTACAAGTCTTGTTTATGCAGGATATGATGATGATAGGTCTATTCTAATGTCCCAGAAGAGTGTAGAGAAGCGTTTTGGTCAGTCGCCAGTATTTATTGCGGCCACCTTTATGGAACAAGGTGGCATTCCACCAACTACTAATCCAGCTACTCTTCTCAAGGAGGCTATTCATGTTATAAGTTGTGGTTATGAGGACAAGACTGAATGGGGAAAAGAGGTAAGTATTCAAATGCAGCCGCAAACTCTTCTGTTCTCTTTCTCACCTCTCTGATTACATCTTATTTGGCATCTTTCTGCTAGATTGGTTGGATCTACGGTTCTGTGACAGAAGATATTCTTACTGGGTTCAAGATGCATGCCCGTGGTTGGATGTCTATCTACTGCAATCCCCCACGACCTGCTTTCAAGGGATCTGCACCAATCAATCTTTCTGATCGTTTGAACCAAGTTCTTCGATGGGCACTGGGATCTATTGAGATTCTTTTGAGTAGACATTGTCCTATCTGGTATGGCTACACCGGAAGGTTGAGACTGTTGGAGAGGCTGGCTTACATCAACACCATTGTCTACCCTATCACAGCTCTCCCTCTCATCGCCTATTGTATCCTTCCCGCTTTTTGCCTCATCACTGACAAGTTCATCATTCCTGAGGTTCGTAAAACAGACCACACTCCTATTTAACTATCCAGTGACTGTGTTTTTGCAATCTTCATCATCTCACAACATTGTTGCAGATAAGCAACTACGCGAGTATTTGGTTCATTCTACTCTTCATCTCCATTGCTGTGACTGGAATCCTGGAGCTGAGATGGAGTGGCGTGAGCATTGAAGACTGGTGGAGAAACGAGCAGTTCTGGGTCATTGGTGGCACATCTGCTCATCTTTTTGCAGTCTTCCAAGGTCTACTCAAGGTACTTGCTGGTATCGACACTAACTTCACTGTCACATCCAAAGCCTCGGACGAAGATGGGGATTTCGCAGAGCTTTACATCTTCAAATGGACAGCTCTTCTCATTCCACCAACCACCGTCCTAGTTGTGAACTTGATAGGCATAGTGGCTGGTGTCTCTTACGCTGTAAACAGTGGGTACCAGTCATGGGGTCCGCTCTTTGGGAAGCTTTTCTTCGCCTTATGGGTCATTGCCCATCTCTACCCGTTCTTGAAAGGTCTACTGGGAAGACAGAACAGAACGCCAACCATCGTCATTGTTTGGTCTGTTCTTCTCGCCTCCATCTTTTCGTTGCTTTGGGTCAGGATCAATCCCTTTGTCTCTGTCACTCCAGAGGCCAACCCCAATGCAGTCCCAGGAGGTGTCTTTTAGATCCTATTTTATATACATTTTGTGTGCATATGATGGTGAACAAGGCGGTTATGGTGATTCAGTGTTAAAAGAATAGCTTTCTCTGAGTAGCCAGAGAGTTATGAATCTGTTGGTGGCTGTCACTGTTAATGCCTTTATTTATTTTGTTATGTTATAGTTTCTCCAGTGTTGAAGATGATGTGGAAACCAAATGATACATATCTACAAAATATAATTGTTATTCTTTTCTTTATTTATATGTTTATTTTCCTTCACCGACACTTTTATAATGCTTTGTTGTTCTTTGCACTCTAACTTAACTCAGAGCTAAATTTATCTTAGAGGGCCACAAACAACCCGCTTACACTCAGCGAAGGGGAGGGTGGATTATCCATAGCATATTCCAGCAACACAGTTCTTGCGAGGAATGATTGACGAGATTTACATAATTAATCATGTTCTTAGCACATTGCATTAGTACATGTACAGAAAGAAACAACAGATGACTTACCATAGCATCATCATCGGCGCTGGAACATTCTTAATTTATTTGACGAAAACCAACCTAAATGATAACACTCAGACCTCTTCAACGCCCAACACGTCATTTCAAAGCTTAAGTAGTTATCCGGTTCATCATTATCATGTCTGGTTGACACACACGTTCCATTATATATATATATATATCATACTTTGAAACAAATGGTGTGGGAAATAAAGAAATGAACATTTACAAAATAAAAACAATGAAATATGCATGATATTAGCTTTTCTCGAGAAAAAAAAATTCACCACCGAATAATTTTTGAGGATATTAATACAAGAATAATATATTGTTTATATCTCCTTACAAGTTTGTTTTTACAAATTATGGTCATCCTAATAATTTGACCGGTTTATATATATATATATATATAATTTACAAAATTAAATATTTATAAACTCAAAATACTAAAAAGCTATTAAAGTTAACTTAAAACTAAACAAAACATCCACCAATTTAACAATTATACCACTTACTTTTATAGGTACTTATGAGGAAGCCAAAGACGTCGAAGAAAACAAGTGACTTCCTGTAACCAAAAGCCGATAAGGTAAGCAACTTTCCAAAACATGTGAACTTAATATATGTATTACACCAACTAAAAAACACAATCAAACACACGCAGAGCAGAAAAAACAGAGACTATTCAGAGTGCACAGACGTGGCAAGTTGACCACAAACTCTTCACTTTTGTTTTCGTTTTCTTAGAGATTAGGCTAACATGCCAAAAATATTAGAATAATTCTGCAGCAATATACTTCTTTTTTACCCCGTTAAAGCCTCCAAATACAAGTTTAGGTTTACAAATTCCAACGATAGTTTAATTTATAAAAAAAAAAGAAATTTAATGAAATAATTAATAATAACTACAAAATTTGGAAGAATGAACATTATTTCAAAAGAAATAAACACAATAAAATATATGGCTCAACCAAATATATGGCTATGCAACAACAAGGAAAATGATTCCCAACAAAAAAAAACACAATAGAAAAACACTTACTCACACAGCCCCAACAAACTACAATACAAATTTTGGGAAATGAAAGACAACAAAAACACAGAATCACTTCAACATAATTATACAAAGCAAAAAAATAGTCAATGACCCCGCGCTTGCGCGGGGCTATGCACTATGCACCTAGTCTACAAAATATAATTGTTATGCTTCTGTTAATTTTGCTTGAATTTGTTAAGAGGCCTCACCTTTGTACTGTTAAAAGCTTTGTTTTTCTTTACAACCACAAAAAAGATTGTGTGAACTGACATAAAGCTTATTTGAATCAAAATCAGATAAACCCAGAATCCAACAACATAATGGAAAAATGAAAATCCTTTTGAATCCTCTCAACATCAATTGTGTAATCTCAACTGGTATAATAAATTTAGAACTATGAATCCTAATATACCCATTGTGTTGCTCTGATAAAACCTCTAAAAAGAGTCCATACGCTTCCAAAACTCAGGCTTCTTGGTTGTTGTTCTCGACCAATATCTTCTTGCAAGCTTCATAACACATGAATGATATTCCAGCAGCAGGAACCAACTTCAAGCAACTAGGTCCAAGACCTTTGTACCAACCGAGAATACCTTCATGCTCCAGTATGCTCACCAGAGCATCCAACATGTTCTTGTACACAACTCTCCCGCTAACCGCTCCCACCTGCATATGCTTACGGGCCACCTCGAGAGGGAAAGTGGCGGTGCTGGATAGTGCACCCGCTAAAGAACCTATCAGAAGAGTCTCAATGTTGCCAATCTTCTCTTGCTTTGAAAAACTCCGGTATGCTTTTCTTAGGGAGTCATATGCAAAGTAGTTGGTAGCTGCATATGGAACAACTCCAATAAGACTAGGAGCAAGTCCCCTGTAGAGTTCTGTGGGTCCTTCCTCGCGTATAATTTTCACAAATGCGTCAAAAATCCCCTTGTACACACCTCTCTGCAATTAGTTTGAAAGACAGATTAATGACTAATGAGCCGTGAACCCACTTTCACAACATCTGAATGAATACTTGTCAAAAGAGAAGTATACATGTTCTAAGACCTCAAATCCTACAGCTAAGGGAGTGAGATTACCTAATTGTATCTTATAACAATTATTTGTTATAGTTTTAAAGAACGGAGAGGAGCCAAACCTGAATGGTAAGACGAGTCTTGACTAGTTCGAGAGGGTAAGTCAAGAGGGTTTGGCTAACTCCAGCACAAGCACCAGCGAGTAATGAAGCTGGGATTGGGATCTTTGATTGCTCTCCATGTTCTGGTGACAGTTTCTTGTTCACTGTCTCGAACACAAAAAGCTGCACATACAAAAATAATGACAAGCATAAAGATTTAACGTTCTTTTTTCTATCAAAGAGTACCAAAGGCTCATCGTTTTGCCATAAGACAATGTCAACACAACACAAGACTTATCACAGATAAAAGTCAACGAGAGATATTATTATTAGTATATACAAAGAGGAATGGTCAAGCATAGACAAATAGTTGGTGAGAGATTGATTCAGTGTGGTTACCTCAACGGCACGAGCAGGTGCGACACGAATGACATTGACCAAATTACCCCTGAAGAGACCAGTCCAACCTTCATGCTTCATGATATCACCAAACACTTCCGTGGATGAGTTCCCGCCACTTCCCACCATCAGATGCGTCCTGATTGTCTCCAACGGCGCAACCACCGTTCTCGAAACAGCTCCAGCCACAGCTCCACTTATAAGCCGACGCAAGGAAGGGTTACCAACCTTTATCTTCAGTTTAAACCCACCACCATTCTTCTTCTTCTTAGTCTTCTCCTCATTAACTTCTTCTTCCAACACTACTTCTTTTCCATTGAGCTGAGTAGAGAGGGATCCGGAACTGAATCCGGATCCTAATGGATTAGTTTGATTGACGCAAGCGAATAAGGCGCCAATTGGGTGATGGTGGTTTCCGCTGGTTAAGCTCCAGTCACATCCCAAATCGGAAACTGAGAAAAGACCATTCCTTGAATCATCGAACAGCTGGATTCCGGTTTTGCCCATAGCTCCCGACAGAATAAGAAGCTTAAGTAAAAGGAAAGATCTTTTCTTTTGCACGAGACAGATCTTACAGAGGCTGTCTGAAAGTGAGGAGCTTTTAACCACCAAAATAAAAGGAAAGGAACGGACTTTCCGAAGATGGGGTGTGACGAGAATCGTGTGAAGAGGACGAGAGAAAGTGTGTGTTATGTCTCTCTCAGAGTCAAAAGGGTCGTCGTCGTCTCTTTCGTTGAGCTTAGGGTTTTAAACTAGTCTCGTTTTTTTGGTTTGCCCTTTTTGGGGTTGGTAGGTGGGTGGAGGAGTCAGTGGGTTTGGGTGGGACGTAGACGGCGTTTAGGTTTTTTTCTTTTTTTTTTATTCTTCATTATTTAATTTACTATATTTTTCATTAATTTATTTAAAATAACTTTATATCACTATGCTATTTGTTTCGTAGCACTCTCCCTCTAGTATTGAATATGTAAACACTCACGCAGTATTTGCCGACACTCAAATCTAGAGCCGTAGAGGAAGTGTGTGTCCATTTTATGGGGGAATATGAACAGACATAACCGAAACTCCATCAAGCTGAATTAGAAAGAAATCAAGCTGTATGTATTTGAAAAAACTACATGATTTTTCCCTTTTAGTGAAACGAAGAAATACTTAGAAGTTTCGTAAAATTTTCAATCAAGTTACTCTCAAAAGAAGAGCCAAGAGACACAATTCAATCAACTTTCAGAAAAAAAGTTGCGTGGAAACAGTTAGATCCGCATTTACAGGTTGCTTATTTGATAGGCGTTGTTTCTTATGCTTAACCCAGAAGCCTTTGTGCACTAGTTGTGTAGTTCCTACGTATTGGTAGTGATACAATGCTTAGTTAGTTGTGCTCAATGGAGGGGTAATAAAAGAGCATGTGATTGTTGTCTGTAAGGCACCTAACAACGAGACGTTTTTTATTAAATCCGCATTTGTTTGCTTTTACTTCTGCTGATCAGTCATCATGTGAAGTAGTATTAAAAAGTACTAGAATATTAGTGAAATTTAGCTAAACTAATTTATCCTTGATCCATCATTTATCACTATGTTCCTTTTATTTCAAATTTCAGGTAGAGCTTTATGATTAACTTTTAACATGCCTCCTGACACTAACGGGTCAGTTTCATGTTCTACACCACCAAGCTTGACAATAAACAAAGAACCAAACATGATTATAAAGTAAACTCCTTAAAACAACTGTCAACAACACATACTCATAAAGAAGAAATAACAAAGAGATCCATAGAACACAAAGGTTCGTGTGGTAAAATACTGTAAAGACATTGTTCCCATCAAATAGTAATTAAACCCATAACTTAGGTAAATAACATAGCAACTAAAAAAAAACTCAACGAACAGAGAATGAACCATACCTAAAAGACAAAGATGATAGTAATGAACCCGAAAGATGCGCAAAACCCTGCTGAAAACTCCCCTTCCAAGCTACCAAAATCATCCTAACATCCCTCCCCTTCAGCTCTTATTCCACTACTTTCACACATCAATCAGATCCATACTGATCCTCATCAAATCAGTCTTCAGCTTCATCACGTTTACCAGCTTCACCTTCCCTAACTTCCAAAAGCTTCCCAGCAGCTTCCTCATCACTCTGCTGAACCTTCTTCTGAGCATCCTTAGCCTTCAACGCCTGCAACTTGCAATGATTGTAATACGCAACCCCCAAAAACGCAACCCCGTACCCAAACAAATTAATCGGAGTCACCGTATCCTTAATCACAGACCACGAGAACGCAATCAAAAGCCAATCCTTAACCACACCCGCCACATTCATCGTCAACGCAGACGTCTTCCCCACAAGCAGAAACACCGCGAGATTCAACGCGAACGCACACACAGAGTTCGTCCCAAACACAACGAAATCGAAATGAAAACTCGAAGTCTCCCTAAGAATCGGCAACTCGACGAATATCCACGGGAAAAACAAAAACCCCAAACAACACGGCGCCACGTAATACAAAGAAGTAATCGGATTAAGATTAATCCCTTTCGACGTAAGCAAGATCTGAATCAAAACCAATCTCGTCGCCTCGAACGCAACGGCACCAAGCTGCAACATCACACCCCACGTATCGAACTTCGCCTCTCCGTAAGCAGCGATCGCGACTCCGAACGAGATCGAGAGCATATTCGTCATCGTCTCAGATCTGAACGACTCCTTCTTCAACAGAACCCCGATCGAGTAAACGGCGACAGGCATCAAGGCCTTGAGCATCTGGATGAAGGAGACGGAGAGGTAGATGTAGGCGGAGTTGGATAGCCAGAGGGAGAGTGAGTACAACGCGCCGATCGGGACGACGGATCTGAGGTAAGTGTCGCGGGACATGGAGACGGGATCGACGACTTTGAAGACTTTGATGAGGAGGACGGCGAGGGAGGAGCAGAAGGCCATGTGGATCATGGTGAGTGTGATTGGGAATGGCCAGTTGTACATCTTCTTGTCGAGGATGTATTTGTTGTACACGATGACTGTGAAGCTGAGGAAGATCCAGATCGCCACGTAGGTGTAGGAGAGGATGATCTTCTTGATGACTCCATCGCTTAGGGCTCCGCCTTTTCCCATGATTGAGACGGAGATGAGGAAGAAGGAGGTGGTGCGTAGGATAGTGTTGAGGGTGTATGATAAAAAGGGGGAAGTGGAGAGAAGACTTTTTGTGGTGGTGGTGATGTAGTGAGAGAGGGTTGGCATGACTGGGCTACTACGCTACGTGGCTTTTAATGTTACTTTTTTTTTTTAATTCACTAATGGGCTTAGATCTGGGGCCCATTAAAATTCTCCCTCGCTATTGTTTTTGATTTTTTGGTTGTATAAAAGTTGTTTGTTTATTTTGAATTTGTTTTTTTTTTTTTTTTTTTGCCATCTAAATTTGTGTTTAGATTACATCCTGGAGTTGTTTACTTATTTTAAAATTATTTTATTAATTTCATTTTTTCTTTGGATTACATATATAACGTTTTATGTGGATGTGATGTGGGATATTGCAAGTCAATGTTGTTGTACCAGTAAAAATAGTTACTTAAATGATTCCTACTAGTCAATATTACCTTTAAATTTTATTTTTTGCAAACACCTTAGAAGACTGTCTATCAGATGCCAAAAGAAGAAGACTATCTACCAATAAGATTATTACTGTGTTATTTTCTGAATTTAATTTGTTTGCATCCATTGTCTTCTTCAACATTTACACTAATATTTATATTCACATTGATGTTTGCCTAACTTTAACAACTGGTCTGTATAGACTGTTAGGTTAGGCTGCTTGACAAAACATAAGTTATTAATAAAAAGAATGGAGGCTAGCAACTTAAATTTTTAAATATGGCATTGTTAGGGAAGACCTGCTGATGACAGTTGGTTCTAACCTAAAGTCTTTTATTATTTTTTTGTCTTTGAGCTGATAACAGATAACTGCTGATAATTCATAAACTTAATCCAATCCCATATAATTATGGATAATGGGAAATATTAGCTCAGGATCTTAAAATTCTAGAAAATTGATTGTGTAATAGTAATAGAGTATAGACATTGGAACATTAATTGGAAAGCCTAAATAATTTTAAAGATTCGGAGACTGTTAATTAATATTGTTTGCTTTCACAACTCTAGTATATTAGTAGCTATATAAATTTTTAAAATAATCTAGTAGGATATATTTAGATAAAATCTCTTACATAGTAATCTTTGGTTTTCAGTTGATATAGTCGATTTTAATCAATTGAACCTAAAACACATCCTTTCAGATTTGTATATAAACTAGATTTTGTTATGGTTAAATGTAGCTATATAAAATTTTAAAATAATCTAATAGGATATATTTAGATAAAATCTCTTACATAGTAATCTTTGGTTTTCAGTTGATATAATAGATTTTAATCAAGAGTGAATTGGGTAGAAATCCTTAACAAAATGGAAAATTAGAGATTTGCCATTTTTTGTGGGGAAAATAGTAATATGTAAGGAGGAGAGATAAATGAAGAAATAGGGTATGGAGTGAATTATGACATAAAGCTTATGTGTAGAGTACAAATACTCTTTAATCAATTGAACCTAAAACACATCCTTTCAGATTTGTATATAAACTAGATTTTGTTATGGTTAAATGTAGCTATATAAAATTTTAAAATAATCTAATAGGATATATTTAGATAAAATCTCTTACATAGTAATTTTTGGTTTTCAGTTGATATAACAGATTTTAATCAAGAGTGAATTGGGTAGAAATCCTTAACAAAATGGAAAATTAGAGATTTGCCATTTTTTGTGGGGAAAATAGTAATATGTGGGGAGGAGAGATAAATGAAGAAATAGAGTATGGAGTGAATTATGACATAAAGCTTATGTGTAGAGTACAAATACTCTTTAATCAATTGAACCTAAAACACATCCTTTCAGATTTGTATATAAACTAAATTTTGATCCGCGCTTGGAAAATATTTTATGATTAAAAATTTATATAACATAATGTTTTGGTATAAACCACTTCACCAAAATTTGGGGTGAAAATTGTTTTTTATTAGTTTTTAGTTTCATTTTTTATTTTTAGATTTTGTTATGGTTAAATGAAAAACATGAAAGGCAAACAGATGATCAATAACTCTTTGGGGGTCCATAACAATGTGTCAGACCAACAATGGGGGAAGTAATAGTAAGAAGTAAGTAATGGGTAATAATAGAATTTAATCTCATACAGACACTATGTTTCTCTAAGGCATAAACTGTTCAAAACATTTACCTTCCTTTTAGCTCTGCCAATCTGGCAGCCAAATCCTCATAGTTCGGTAACTTTGGGTGAACGTGCTTAGCTTCACTACGTTCTGGCTGAAGCGAGGAGGCACGAGCAAACGTTTTTGCGGATTCAGATGGTCCGGCCATTTGTTCACTTGGAAGACTAATTGACCGAGTTGGATGATGACTCTCTTCTTCACCTTCGGCTTTTCTATGATGTGAACGTCTGCTTTTAGATTCTTCATAACTTGATGGCTTTTTACTGTAATGCATCAGAAGTTTATCCATCATCTTTTCCTCACTGTCCTTCTCATCTTCATCTATTAACACTTGAAGGCCTTTTCTTGAGTGTTCCCTTCTTCTGTTGGTTCTTGTATCATCATCATCATCATCATCATCACCTGATTGTTTAATGTGCTTTCGTCTACTAGATCGCCGCTTCTGAGATTGATCGTCTATGGCATTCACTTGATGCTGACCTGCTTCAGAAGCCTTTTTATCAATGTCTGGACGGTTTCTTTCTTCACCATCAAACCGAGCCTTTGGATTAGCTGAAGCTTCAGGTTTTTCATTCTTTGCTTTACCACTCGATTTAACATACGGAGGTGGCGGAAGGGATTTAGGTACGGGTGCGGGTGCTTTCATCATTCTCTCTGTTTCTCGCTCCTCAAGCTTCCTTGCTGGATCATATCCACGAACATTGACGTTACCACCAGATAAATCATCTGTGCCATCTCCAACAGGAACTGTATTTTCTCTTCTACTCTCCTGATCCTTGCGAACTGTTCTTTTCGACCTAGGCTTTGGAGGCATTGAGAGGTTATCTTCCACCTTCTGAGGCACATGATCTTCATCATTCTCATGTTTGAATGCTTTCAAGAAACTTTCTTGTTTAAAGCCAATAACTAGCTTATCTTCTGTTTTGGTGTTGCTACGCTTCGGCTTCTCTGTCACCTCTGTTTTCTTAGCCGCACCAGCTTCACCATTTTGATGTACAATCCCTTGAGCGAGATTCTCACGCTTGATCTTCATTACTATAGTGTCACCTTCGTTAAAAATAGGCTGAGGTCTTCCTCTGGAAGATTTGTGCTTAGGTTGCAAATGGAACTCATTTCTTTCCGCCTTGTCATCCTTGCTTTCCGATCTGGAAGCGTGACGAACATCATCTGACTTATCTTTAGATGTTACCCCATGCTGATGTTCTCTGAGACCATTCTGATAGTTATCCGGTCGAAACAGAGGATCTTTTCTTTCTGATGCAACATCCTTTTTCCTTTCCGGTGGCAAGGCCATCCTTCCGTCTACAGGCTTGTGCTTATCGTAAGAATTTTTTGGGGTCTCCTGTTCATATCCAGAAAAGCAATCATAAATCAGTGTTCTTCCAAATATTTAAGTTTATTGTTGTTCCTCAAAACAAATGAGTCATCACCATACCTTTACTGAACTACCATTTTGTCTCAAGATCCTCTTCTCAAATGCTTTAGAATCCCAACGAATAGCAAACTCCGATGCAACATCTTCCATCAACTTCACTTTCTTCTCCAAAGAAAATGGCTTTGATGACATACTCTCAACAAGCTATAAGAGAAACAAGTACATGCTTGTATAAGATCTCCAGATGAGTTTAACCGAGAAATAAACATGCACAACAATAAAACTCTTACCTCTTGGTTGACAAACACACTAAGTGAATCTCCATATTTCTCGTGAAACATCTGCCTCAGCTCACGCAACTCAGGCAATTCAGAAAATCCAGAGGCTGCAAACATTAAAGACGCCACAGCTTCACGACAATCTTCTGGACATTCCCTGGAAAAACAAGCGTAAATCAACTAATCAAAACATAATCATGTTTCCACAAAGAACAAAAGTACTTCAACTATCTTTGAGAATGTTTAACTAAGCCACAGAAAACATTTCACAGCACTAAGGATCAAAGAAACATGAACAGGGTGAAAAGGAAAATGCCAAAAAAATGAGGTAATGAGTTTCGTTTCTATATAATCAATATTTAAAAACAAAAGTCCAAACAACCTGATCATCATTTTTCAATATAAAACCTAACAAGTTGACATGCCAGAGAATCTACAAGTAAATTTCTCATCTACTCAATAGTATGTCACAGCTACTCAAGAATCATAAAATATCCTTAAAAAAATACATTAAGATCTATCCTAAATCCATGTGAACGTCAAAAACTAAAGACTGGCCAACATGAAAATCTCAAACCAAAAAACCATTGACAACTTACTCCGTCTTCTGCATCGTAGAGAGTTGCTTATACACGAAATCACAAGTACTCTCAACGAAATCAATATTCCAGAGATGCCTTAGTTCATCAAGAAGCCCTCCCGCCTGCATATCTCAAACGATTTATCATCAAAAACCAAATCAGAATCCCTAAAATCAATCGTTTGTAACAATAACCCTACCCTGCTATAAGCATTGACGTCAAGGCCGTTAGAGATGAGATCAGCTAAATCACTCTTGAGAAACCTGATCGTAGCAGTCCTCTTCCTCCGAAGAACATCGATACGATTCTTAGTCAGTTTTATCAGTGGCTTCCTGCCGAATCAAATCACACAAATCAAAATCGATTCGCTCATTAAAAAGAGAGTTAATCAGAGAGAAGAGATACAAACCCCTTGGGAGCAAATCCGCGGCCTAAGATACCGCCAAACATCGTAAGATCTCTTCGCGACAACGACGGTTAAGATTCCGATTGTGATCAGCCGACGAAACGGAATCTCGAGTGCGAGAGAGAGAGAGAGAGAATGGCGTTTTTCTTCAGCGGTTGGGGTTTTTAAAATGGAAGGCAACGCATCTCAAGCTGAGTGGGAGAACATTATGGTGGTGGTGGTGGTGACCTTAGTCTTTAAGATACGACTGCGTTTTTGACCTTTTTGGCGTTTGTTAACGTTATAAAGGGTATTTTAGGGAGTTACCTATTTCTTTTTCCTTTTTAGGAGGTGTTGAGGGATCAAATCGATACTTTCAGCTAGCTGTTGTTTTTCTAGTGGAATTGGGTGGAATGATCTGGTACGGAGGGGTCCACCTACATTGCATGGAGTCTGTGACCTGCACCAATAAATGAATTTAGTTCACCGACGGCTTTATTTATTTTTTTGTTGACATCTTTGATTAATTAACCAATATTTTTTTTTCAACTTTAACCGATTTTCTTTCTCTTGTCTGAAAATGTTCTTTTTTTTGTCTAATTTTGTCGGAAGTGTTTGTAAAATCATTAAAATTTGTAAAATATTTTGCATTTATTTCGTTTATGTTATATATAGATTCATTTGTAAATTGGACTTCATATTACGGTTTATGCATTAGTAGATGTTTTCAACATGTTATATGTAATAACCACCAAATTAGTTAGCATGTTTTCTTATAACTTTTTTTGTAGTTACCATGTTTAATATGTGGACACCGCAAAACATCATCGTTAAATCGTCTTAATCGACCGTCTGTTATTTAATTCCTGATCAATTATTTAAAGAGAGAATAATTCATGTGTCCATGTTCTTGGTTTGATTAAGACCAAGGAAACCGGCTCAAGATGCGAAGGATCTCGCCTTTAAACCTATTTGTTTATTGTTTAGGCAGAATCAAATTCCTTAATCCACCTGCTTACGTGTTTCTGTGTCCAATCAAATTACATTAAAATACTTCCTGACAAGAATAATTTTTCTTTTTTAGACAAGAATAATCATATTAAATCAAATTCCTTAATAATCTCTTAACTAGTCTCAGTCTTAAAGATGACATACTTCTAATTAATAAAGTAGAGTAGAATTTAGCCAATATTTTTTTTTTTATGAGAAAACTGCTTTCAAATATTTTATTTTCTCTAATATATTCAGTTCAGTTTAGTTCGTTCTAATTAGTACCGTGTCAGAATATATATGGGCTAAGGTAAACATAAAAATCATTTAAAATTTATTTTTAAAAAATCATTTTATTTTTAAAAATTAAAAATTATAATACAACCTTTTATAATAAAAATCATTTAAATTTTGGAAATATTGTAATATAATATTTATAAAATTATTGAAAATAAAACAATTTGTTCACAATTTTTTTTAAAACACAAAACAGTTTTTAAAAATAAATATTTAAACAAAATAGTAATATAAAAGGAGTAAGACAAAGATATATTTTTCTTAATTTCAAGAAATTATTTGCCAAATTATCTATAAGAAAATAATTTTATATGAATATATGATAACTATGCCATTCAAAGTTGTCAATACACTTTGGATCTATTTTATAAAATTATTAATTAAAATAACTAATATATAAAATTAACACTTCAACATTATTATAAATAAATTTTATTTAACTCAGATGACAATAAAAACATTAAGACTATCTCCAGCTATTTTCCATTCCAGCACACAAGATTTGTATTCATTGATTAAGATCTTAAATCTGAGATTTTAGTTTTTTTGTATGTAAAATCGTAATAGAAATTCGAGTGAAAAGAATTTCATGCTAAACTTATAAACTATTACCATTAAGCTAAACCAGAACTTATTAATTTAGGATCCTAAAATCCCTTTATTATTAAAAGGGAAGCAGAATTAAAAACAAACCTTTAAATGGTATTATATTTACATGAATACCATTTGGCTGATGTGTCAGACAGCCGGCGCTTTTCAGACCAAATATGAAAACACCCACTCTCATCTAGACTATTTACAAGATCTGCCATTGGACTGACTTTATTATTGTTATAACTATTATAATAGTTAAATTTTTCTTTCTCTTCTTTCCTTTTATCGAACCCGAACCCAGATCCTTCAAGAAAGAAGAGATATGTTTGTTTTGATATAATATATCATCAAAGATCAAAAGATCGATCTTTTTTTTTTCCGTCCGCGGATTCTCTATCTCGCTGTGTTTCAACAAGAATCAGAGCTCCTCCGTTCTTAACAGGTCTCTCACCCGGACGGTGGTCGGATTATAGTGGGACGATGGGTTACCACGGTGTTAAAGTTGCACCGATTAGGAGAGTTCACTGGAGAAGCAAGTAAACGTAAATCAAGCACACACAGCAAAGCAGGCATTTCAACGACCGTGATTAGGTACAGATATGGATTGAGTATTTTGTAGATTTAGGATCTGCATAGGTTGAGTTCTATCGGACAAAAAAAATATGTATTTGTCAGTACAAAATATAATATGTAGATATATCTAGATTCATAAAATAGCCAAAAATAATTAAAAAGATAATAAAAATTGAAAGCTGAAACGATATAAACTAAGTGCTAAGACTACCGGAGACAAGACACATCTCTCTGTAATATTTGTGAGCAGTTGTTTGTTCTGAGAAAATTAAACTCCGAGAAATCAAAAAGAATTTTCTGGGGGAAACCAAATCGAGTAAACCGGTAGAGAAGAAGAAGCTTTCTCTCTGTTTCTGCTAATCGACAAGGAATGTCATCAAATTTTAGGGGCCTTTTATTCTTTCAGACATAAGTAATTGCCCATTGGGCTTTACTTTAATGACAAAACAGTTGACATAGTGCGTGAGAGTGGAATTTCCGCAGATATGATCGTAACATAAGTTGCCTAATGTGCCAAATTGATTTGTTCATATCCCTCATGTACTGGTTTATCCCTCTTTTTTTACGACCAAAAATAATAATATAGTTTTCAATGTTATGTTATTAACTAACATTATGGTCAAAAAGCTTATAAAAATATTTAAAGCAATTAAAATCTCAACAAAATAAGAAAAATGAGATATCTATATATAATAGGAATCCAAAAGTGACATCATCATTTTATTATAGGAAAAAAAATTAAATCCAATGGTCATAATTAAATTGATGTTAAAATCTAATGGACCAAAAAAGACATTTTTTATGATTGATGATGTCATCAAATAATTGGCAACTTTTCATTGAAGAGATATCTTTTTTTTTGTGAATCATTTAAAAAAAAAAATTAAAATTTATTTTGAAACAATGTGTTTTTTGAAGAATTTGTTTTTTTTTTTACCAAAGATTGTGAATCCTCCTTAAATTTAAAGACTTTTTTTTGAAACAATGTGTCCTTTCATTAATTAGTTAGTTTGAAAGAATGTGTTTATTTTTGTAAGGATGTGTCTATTCAAGAAATATATATATATATTTTAGAAAGAGGTATATATGTAGAAAGATGTGACTTTTCATAATAAAAAACTGACTAAATTGAAAAAGTGTACCTTTTGAAAGAATTTTTTGAATCTCTATATATAGTCATTGATTTAAAGTTTTGAGCTTTAAGGCAAATGTCACCGTCGAGAGATGAAAAGGTGAACTATACATAAATAAATTTTAAAAAAATTCAATCCAATGGTCATAATTAAATTGATGTTAAAATCTAATGGACTAAAAAAGATATTTTTTTATGATTGATGATGTCATCAAATAATTGGCAATTTTTCATTGAAGAGACATCTTTTTTTTTGTGAATCATTTTAAAAAAAATTAAAATTAAAATTTATTTTGAAATAATGTGTTTTTTGAAGAATTTGTTTTTTTTTTTACCAAAGATTGTGAATCCTCCTTAAATTTAAAGACTTTTTTTTGAAACAATGTGTCTTTTCATTAATTAGTTAGTTTGAAAGAATGTGTTTATTTTTGTAAGGATGTGTCTATTCAAGAAATATATATATATATATATATATATATATATATATTTTAGAAAGAGGTATATTTGTAAAAAGATGTGACTTTTCATAATAAAAAACTGACTAAATTGGAAAATTGTACCTTTTGAAAGAATTTTTTGAATCTCTATATATAGTCAATGATTTCAAGTTTTGAGCTTTAAGGCAAATGTCACTATCGAGAGATGAAAAGGTGAACTATACATAAATAAATTATAACCATTAAAGAAAATGTCAAAGAGAAGAAGAAATCAATTGGTCAATTGATTTCTATATTAAGCCAAATTAAGCATGGATCAAGATTAGTGTTTCTTTCTTCTTCTTTTTAAAGAAATGGTTAGGGTTGGTAGTCAAAAATCTCGGTTATTGTCTTGGGATATATTCCAGGTTTGAAATCATAAAAGTTTAGCTTACATTTGGTATAGAGCCATTCTGGATTTAACTAATTCACTGTAATTATTTTTCATCAAGTTCATGAACATATACGGATCAAACCGTTTAAAGAGTGTTCATGATTCGTTTAATTCACAAAAATTAAATACACGGGATTTTGGTTGCTTAAGCATATGTTTTTTTTTTGTTTAGGCATGTGTTCATGATTCATGTGTATTCGTATGGCATCGTAAGATATATACTGTAACCCTTAAGCGTTTATTCTGAAGTGATGTTAACGTAACAAATGATCGTTACGTAAACTGCATATGTAAACTACGATTACGTAAAATAATTTGCTTGAGTCAATACGTAATAGTTTATTACATTCTAGAAATGATCAAGGAAATGATTATGTTTCTATCTAATTGTCGCCATTGAAACATTGGTTAAGAAGCTATATTAATCAAGTAATCGGTTAGTTTTGATTTGTGGAAATGAACAATCGTAATCTGGGTTCTTAATGGGATCATCTATTGTTAAGTTTATTAAGTAGTATGAAAAGTCACATAAGGTGCATGGGTGAAAAGATAAATACCTCATGGAGTAGTTGCACTTTTTCGTTTATATTTTCTGGAGTTTTATTTGTATACATGCATGAAAGGTTGCATGCTAAAGTGTAGAATTAATATTGATGGCTATCTGATTATTATTGTGAAAAGCCACCAGTATTTTTTTTTTGGAAAAGTAAGCCACCACTAAAAGTTGTGAGCGAAGGAAGTTTCACATTTAAAAAAAA